TAAAAAATAGCAAAAGAAATAACTAACTGTGGAAATTAGCTTTAAAAAATAGCAAAAGAAATAACTAACTGTGGAAATTAGCTTTAAAAAATAGCCAAAGAAATAACTAACTGTGGAAATTAGCTTTAAAAAATAGCCAAAGAAATAACTAACTGTGGCTGCTGGGATTCGAGCCCAAGTCTCCACGGCCACAACGTGGGATTCTTACCACTAAACTACAGCCACATTATATATTCATGGGGATGATAAAAGAAAATTTATTCTATGAATTTTGATACTTCTGAAATTATAGTTTTATAAATATATATTTTATTCATTTATGAAATTCACGTTTTTTTGAAAATAATTTCCTTTATTTAATTATAAACTTTAATACCATTTTTTTGTTTAAAAATAATACCATTTTTGTTTTTCAACTAAACTTTAATTAATAATAATTTGTATTTATCCTTTTAATTTAGAAAATATTCCAAAAAAGAGTTTATAATTAACTACTGAAATTTTCACCCCTGGCCCATGTACGGTAAATATTATAAACCTTTAAAATTAAAGTATTTACAAACTTATTCTCCTTTTAGTTCATTTTAATTATAAATTTTACTTTTCCTTTCACTATCAAACTAAACTAAATCTAACAGTGTGTTAAACCAACGAAACATATTTTATTTTATATATTTATTTGATTTTGCAAAAACAATACCTCTTGTACTTTACGGCTATTTATATACATGTCAAAGTAACTTATTTAGGTCACTTATTCAAAATTTTCTTAACAACAAAATATATATATATATATATATATTTTTTTGTTAGTCTCTTAAAATTCTATAGGACTGATATTTCAATTTTAATTTATATTGTAAAATCAGGCGATTGTCCCGTAAGATTAATAGAGGTGCGCATAAACGGGTCTAGACACTCATAGATGTCAAAATAATAATAATAATAATCTAATATCTGCCTATTTGTACATTTTCCAAATGTAGTATTTGAGGCGAAAAACCATGTGGATTATTAATTAACCACATCCAATTTCCATTGACAATAGGGAATGGGTATCTAAAATCCTCTCATTCTTCTCGAGATTAAAATCTCATCAATTTAATTTATTACTAATTAAAATTAATTATTAATCATTTAAGTTAACTCCTACATTGTTTAGAATTAATGCTTTTTCTTATAAGTAAATTAGTTTGTACAAGATATTAATTTTTTAAGTTGATCAAGTAACATTAATGTGTTTATTTTTAATAATATTTAAGTTTAAATACTATTTTGCTCCATGTTATTTCAATTTTAGTAATTTATTTTGATCCCAAGATTTTTACCAAAATGCTATCTTACGTTGTACTTTTAAAAAGTGACCACTTTGACCCTTTATACAAACTTTTGACTTAAAGTTTACAGGCAAAAACTATTATTACAAAATTATTGCTAATTTCAAAAAGTCTGGTTGAATGCAAAATCGTGAAGGAATTATGATTGAAAATAATAATAATAATAATAAATGGATCAAAATAATCACTTTATTAAAGTATAATGATCAAAACGAACATTTCGAAAGTATGAAGACTAAAATTAACACATGGTGTAAAGTACTAAAGTAAATGTTGTACTAAAAAAAGAACCACATATTATCAATTTTAGTAATTTAATACGGATTCCCCTATTCAAATCCTTGACATTTATTACTATTCATTTTTTATATATACCTATTACCTAATCAATTTAGTTAAATATATGTTTTTTTGGATTCGAACTCACCGCTTTTCAGTGGGGAAAGACAATTTTGCTATGTTTAATAAAATTTTACACCAACATTTCCATATAATTTAAAGATAAAGTATGGTGTGACATGTTTTATATAAGTATTTTTTAAAATGTCAATTTCAAAAATGATTTCACAATTTTTTTAAAGCACCAATAATATCACAAGTGTTCCGATACTTATCTGGTGAGTGGTACTCTTATACTTAATCACGTAATCCACAAAAAAGTTATAATATTTAATTGGTACAATAATTTGAACTCAATTTTATTTTTTATTTTTTGTAAGTCAACCACTAATCATTCATTCATTTGGAATTTTTAATTATATTTTAGACTGTAAGTGTACTATTGGTCAGTATCCGCTGAACAAATATTTTGATTTTCTTTTTATGCATTAGCCAACAAGATTTAGATTTTTTTTAATAATACTTTAATTCAAACTTATTTTAAATATATATCAACCTCAAACTATTTTGAAGAATAATACTTAAAAAATTAAAGTTTCCGAGTCTTTATATATTTAAAATGAAAAAATCCAACAAGATTTATTCATTCTTCCAGAGAAAAAAAGTTTTATTCTTAAAAAAAGACCTCATTTACGCGATTTTTTAAAATTTAAAGTCGTTTTCCATTTTTTTTTATTTTTTATCCAAGGACGTGTGCAACTTTTTTTGTTTTCTTTTTAAATTCGAAGTAACGTATTAAATTATAAACTTAATCACTAAATTTTGATAAATTATATCTACTTACTTCATAGACTTTAAATTTATTTCAATTGAAGACAAAAACAAAACAAAAAAAATATTTCAATTACATCTATGATTTTGACATCTGACTATATATAATTTATACTAATAACATGGTTAATAAAATTATAAACTTAATCACAAAAATTTGATAATTTGATAACAATTTTGTTTTTTTTTTTTTTTGTTTTTTGCTTGCAAAAATCAAGCTTGCTACTTTAGCTTTTGTATTCATTTATTTTGTTATCAACTTTTTAAAAATCTTTTCAAATTTTAAACAAAATTTTGAAACTGAAATAATTAATTTCTAAAAATTTGTTTTTTTACTTTTAAAATTTAACTTAAAATTCAATTTTATTGTGAAAAAAACATGAAAAACATAATAAAGAAATTGTGGAAAAACAATCATAATCTTCAAAAATATAAAACCAAAAAACAAAACGAGGCCTAAATTATAAAATATATAATTTATACTACTTACCTCCTACCTCACCTCATCAAGATATCATTTATCTCTATAAAAAAATAGAGGTTAAACTCTTCACCATTAAAAAAAAAAAAGAAATTCTACTGTTTTATTGTAATATAAATATATTGTTAACTAAATAATGACATAAGATATTAATTTGATAAATATCAATTAATTCAACGAATGCAACAGACAAGGACAATAATAATAAGTGTCAAATTACTTTTATGAATAATTATGCTGAATATTTGTCTGTGCGTCCAAAGTTATTAACATCTCTCTCTTTCGTGCATCAAATAACTGGCAAGACAAGGTAAACATTGTGTCTACGTTGGTATCGATAGAATAATAAATATAATGTATTGTGGAAGTGATTTGAACATACCAAGAAGGGAAAAATATTCATTTGGTCCCTGAAGTTTAAAAAAAAATACTTTTAATCTCTGAGGTTTGAGAGAATGTTTGAAATGATCCCTCGACTCCTTAACCTCCATGTCATATTACCGTGAGTCAATTAACAGTCGAAGAAGTTGAGGGATCATTTCAAACATTTTCTCAAATCTCAGGGACTAAAAGTGTTTCTTTTGAAACATGAGACACCAAATGAGTACCTACCTCAAACCTCAGGACCAAAGGGATATTTTTCCCTACCAAGAAGTAACAATTCTTTTATTTTTCCCTACCAAGAATTGACAATTCTTTTTATAGGTAAACGATGACGAATTCATTAATTATAAAGACTTAGATTCCTCCACAAATCTTAGTAGCTAGACTGTGGATTGGCACTGTTTATGACCAATCAAACATGTCATTTTCACACGTTCGTAATAATAATGGTAAGACGAGGTCAACCTGGCCCGTCTCTTACAACTACTAACATAACCAGATTGGTATACATCATTCAGTTGTTCAACACGTGGTAATAGTCCAGTTGCTAAATTTTTTTTCTATCATCTATCTACTTTATCATGCAAAATCAATGAAGATTTAAAAAATATTATTTTTCGAATTATTTTATTGATATTTTATAAATATACAGATGGGGCACAATGAGTACGGGAGGGCAGCAGAAATGACGTTGTTTTATATTATAAAATAATTTTTATGATTATCCGTATAAATACCGAAGATTCGATGCGTCCTGTCGGCAATTTGTTTTTTAAAAGTAACAAATTTCAATAATTTCTGTCTGAAAATGATAGAAGCCCCAAACTGCAGGTCGCTCATTCACATTTTGTAGATGTTTTGAAAATATATTTTGAATAAACATTCGTGTTAATGGTATGAATATAAAGTTGGACGGAATTTATAATGTCGCAAGGTGACAACTAATTTTATAAATTTTATCATAATCTTAATAATTTCTTTCATAAATTTAATATAGATAAATTTTTACGTTAACCGTTTTAAAATGACAGTGTCTAAATGATATTTTATAAATATTTTTAAAAAAGATCAAGTTTAATATTAAAATTTTTAAAATAATAAAAATATTTTGAAATAATGGACAAAGTTGATGAGGATCTTTTTCTAATTTAGCTTTGTTTTCTCAATCACATTATTCCATTCATAGTTATTTTAAAATATTGTTATAACTTTATATTAAAATTAAATGTTTTTTTAGTTGTGAGTGGAGACTACATTTTCAACCAGTTACCAAATAAGATTTAAAGCAATATAAGATTTACGTTTTAAAAAAGAAAGTAAAAGCGAATATTTAGAAAAACATCAGAAATCAAAATAAAAATTGAAGGCGCGCCGAATTCCCATTGCGACACGTATTAACTTGAGCGGAATTTACGAAAATGCCCAGTCGGCGGGCCAATGGCCAATTCTATAAAACCTCTGTTCTCGGCGCCTCAAAGTTTCATACGAGTTGCAGATTTCACGATGGCGATGAATGCTTTATCGGAGTTCCTTTTTCCGGCGCCTCCTTCATTGTTTGTGAACGTGATGACGGTGGTGAGCTCGGCGGTGGTGACGGCCATAGGGATTTCCGAAGCTAAGGGAAAGCATTTGCAGTATTCCAAGTTCTGGAATACGAATACTGCTCCGAAATCTTCGTCGGAGCAATTCAAGATTTCGTCCAGGCTAGGGATGCTCTTCCTCTATACTCCTGCGTTTATCGCCGGCGCTGTGTCGCTCTGGTTCTTTCCGAACGAGGATCGGAGGATTCTTCTGATTAAATCTGCTCTCACCTTGCATTTCTTCAAGAGGGACCTTGAGGTACTTTCTCTGTGCCCTAGATAATTGAGCTCTGAACTTCAATCTGATCCTGGAAACAGCGAGTAGAATGAACTTTTTGTTTTTCTATTCGTGATTGTTGTTCGAGCTTGTTTGATCCGATTTTGAATCTCGAACGAGAATCGGTGCTTCGTCGAGAGTAAGTTTTTACTCTTGCTCTGAATTTGACAATCTAATCCTGGAAACAGATTATAGGAAAGAAATTTCTTCTCTATTAATGATTAACTATTCGTATTCCCGTAAGTAATTAGTTTTTCGAAATCTCAGACTAGTTTGATTCATTTCGGAACTCGAACAAGTATAATCGGGGCTTCGTTGAGAAAACGAGAACCTGTTGATTTTGCTCTGAACTTCAATCTGATCCTGGAAAAATGTAGTAGAATGCATTCTCTTCTCTATTCGTGATTAGCTATTCAAATTGTCGTAAATAATTAGTTATCGAAACAAGTTTGATCTATTTTCGGGAGCTCGAACATGAATCAGGGCTTTCTTCTCTGTTCGTGATTAAATTACTCGTAAAGAATTGATTAATCAAACTAGTACGATCCGTTTTTTAGACTCGAACCAATAATTGGTGCTTCTTTGATAATCTGTCAATCTTGTTCTTTAAAGTCTTCCCAAGTTTTAAAAAAACCAAATGAAAAATTCTCGCGCGGGTGGAAGTCTCAGATCTTCATCTTCTATCCCTTTCCACATCTGACCATTCCTCCGTACATCTTGAGGCAGGGGTATTTTTGTCAATTTTTATTATTAATGTCTTGATTTGAATTATGTTCTGTTTTTGTTTTCTATATTTGATGTTTGTTTTCTTCCCCTTTTGCATGATATATATATATATATATATATTTTTTTTTTTTTGGGTTTTATTTTTTCTAATGTCGTATGCCTATGCTTTGAACTTTTTTACTTATTAACCTTTCGCTGACTGAATGGGAAATTTGATATTTGTTTTATTGTTGCTTTCTATGGGTTTCCTTTTGTTTTAAATTTTATCTCTTGAAAATACTGACTCCTTACCCGTGAGGATAGACTATTGAAAAATGGACCATTCCTATTTTTACATCTTCCCGATTCGGAAAATTTTAATTTTTTTTAGAGAAGTCCTTGTTTTTTGTATTTATCTCGTCCTCACCGTTGAAAAAAAAATCTCTGTTTTTTGTTTGGAGTACAACATGTGTGGGGTAAGGGTTCGAATTCTCAACCTCATGATTAAATACATGTTCCATAATCCGCTTAGCTAGTCAGAAAAGTTTAGGTTTTCCATAATCTGCTTAGTTAGTCAAAAAAGTTTATTTTTTTCCTTATTTCTCTACTAGTTGTTGGTGGCGAGAACAAAATTGGTGTATTAGACTTTATATTTAGTTACATAATGTTGGTATTGTTAGTATCTTTTCATTAAACAAGGTGAGTATGTATATATATACCAATTTTTAAAAGTACAAGTCAAAGCGTTAAGCTATGTACAAGTCAAAGCGAGCATAGCTTAGCGGGTGAGTTCGATCCCACCCCCACATATTGTATTTAAAAAAAAAAACTTTCAAAGTACACAATAATAAACAAAATAAGTCTATATATATATATAGACCAACTAATAATAAAGATTAGTCACAACAATACTAGGCTATGTAACTGAATATAAAGTCTAATAAGGCGTAGAACCAATCTTTTACTCACCACCGTTAGGTTTAATTTTGCACAAATATGAGAGTGAATTGCCTAATAATCGTTGTGAAAATTGTACACATGCAATGCAGGTACTGTTTGTTCACAAATACAGCAGCAAAATGGTATTGGATTCAGCAATCCTGATCTCCCTGAGCTACTTCTCCTCCACAGCAATCATGATATACTCCCAGCACCTATCACAGGGGCTTCCACAGCCGCCCATTGATCTCAAGAACATAGGGATTGCTCTGTTTCTAACAGGCATTATTGGCAACTTGTACCACCATCTTATCTTGGCCAACACCAGAAAAGGGGGAGAAACAGGCTACAAAATCCCCAAAGGAGGCCTCTTCGGTATCATCATCTGCCCTCACTATCTGTTTGAAATAATTGTGTATTTCGGGTTTGCTTTCATCTCTCAGACCATCTACGCCCTCTGCTTCGCCCTCGCCACCGCCGTGTACTTGGGCGGCAGGAGCTACGCCACCAGGCGTTGGTACGCCTCCAAATTTGACAACTTTCCTAATCATGTCAAGGCCCTTATCCCGTTTCTGTTTTAGGCCCTTCTTCACTGTTTGTTCTTGCTGTGATGTTAAAATTTCCAGGTTAAAGTTGAATTTTGTATTTAGACACTCTTACTCTCAAGCTTTGAGTTTAGTTTCTATTTGGTCCCAGACTTTAGTTTTTATTTGTTTCTCATGTTGCACTTTTACTCTTTAAGTTTCTATTTGGTCACTTTTGTCCTTAAAATACTCTTTTGGTCTTTTGGTCTTTGAATTTCAAATTTAGTTTTTATTTGGCCTCGATGTTACACTTTTACTCGTTTTGGTTCCACTTTTGTCCTTAAAATACTCTTGGTCTTGAATTTTGAGTTTAGTTTTTATTTGGTCTCGATGTTACACTTTTACTCTTAATTTTTCTCTTGATTTTTTAGTTTAGTTTCTACTTAACTCTTAGTCGATCCACTAGAGCTATCTTTTTAATTATTGACTAAGATTTTTGTATTGAAAAAAAAAAAAAAACTCAAAACTTAAAGGACCAAAATAAAAGTGTTAACCTTTTGAAAGTAAGAACTTATAAATAGAAATTGAAAAATAACTCAAAACTTAAAAGGAACAAAATAATAGTGGGCTGTACATTATCTACTTGGAATTTATTGTGTACCCACAAACAATGTTCTTTCACTATAATTGCTCCATGTTGTATGGACTCTGCAGTAAACCACGTCACAATATGGGCAGATATATGGCTGCTATTTTTGAACTTGTATTTAAATGTATGAAGATATTAAAAAAAATTATAATTATTCACATAAGGTTGAGTTACATCATTTTTTTTTTGTCGTTATGATTTTTTATTGTCCTATATGTTTTTTAACACTTTATTTTATTATCATATTTAAATTTGTCTGCTACCCTATGAGGATTATTGACACATAGTTTAATGTATAAATTATTCGTGGTTGCTTAAGTTTTCACTAAGAATTTTAATATTTTAATCAATTGAGTTATGCTGAGATTGACATTTGTTGTTGTGTTCTAATCGAATTATGTGTAGAATTATGTGTAGGTTGACGTGTGTGGTTGTTAGTTGCTTTGGATGAATATTGTTGAAATTTAATGAATATTACTAGTCTAAGTAAGATAACTATATTTAAAACTTGACCTTGTTTTATGTTTTACTTTGGACTAATTTGACTTATTTGATCCCATATATATGGTTAAAATAAAAGGTGTGATGTCAAAGAAAGTTAAGATGTAAAAATAATAATAATGACAAAAGAAAAAAGGGAAAGAAGGAAAAGAATGAAGAAATTTAATTCAAAGGAAGAAAATTTTAAGAAATGAAAATGAGAGAAGTAGGTGAAGTGTAAATAAAAAAAAGTATGGGAGAAATAAATTAAAAAATAATAATAATTACATACAATAAAATAACATGTAATAGGAGAGAGAGATTGTACATTAAACTGAGACAGTGAGATAGGATTGTGGGCTCTACACACAAATATATATATATATATATATATATATATATTAGGAAAATTGAAGTGCGATAGCAAAAAGTAGCAAAAATTTTCTATGCACAAAATATTTTTTCTGCTTTTTAAAATTTTTAAATATAGAATAAATTTTCACTGATATATAACATATATATTATCACATGTATATTTTACAGACAGTATATCCATATATATTGCAAGTATATTAGATACTCATATCACTAGTATATCAGATATAATATCACATTCATATATCAATAGTCAGATATATTACAAATGTATATCATTTGGGTAAATTTATCATTTTAAATTTGGACCTCTATTTTTTTTAAAGTGATATATTTGAAAAAAATAAATGTGGTTATTTTGTCAATTTTACTCGATATTTTTGCTATATTTGCAACTGCGCCTAAAAATTTATATAATAATAAAGTTTCTTCACACTTACTTTAAATGGAGGTAAAACAAAAACTTCCATACTAGGAGAATAGAAACTTTTCCCACTTGCTACCCTCTTACAAATAACTTGTTAGGTATGTTGAATTTTTGTTAATTACTTGTTAGGTTGTTTAAGCTTTAATGACATGATAACATTAATTACATTAATGAAGTTTTTGAAAAAAATATGGATGAATAATTGAAATTAAGGATAAATTAAAGTATATATACTTTAATAAAAAAAAAAGTTGAGATACGGCATGTTTGTCTATGTTTTTTCGATAGGGACAATAATTGAAATTGAAGATAAATTAAAGCATATATACTTTAATAAAAAAAGTTTAGATACTTGTTTGTCTATGTTTTTTCCATTTTGGTTTATTTTACTTTTTATACTTTTGAAATGTTTATTTTGGTTTCTGTGATATAAAATTTAGGGTTATCTTTTAAAAAATTTATCAAAACAAAAGGATAAAAATGAAAATAAAAATAACAATTTTGAAATAGTCATTCACTAAAAGGTAAACAAAAATATAAATATTATATTAGGGCTCTATTATTATTTTAAATACTCAATACTGTAATTAGGTTAAATAATTTATGATGGATGGGGAAGGAAATAGTTTGGTAGTTGTTAGTTGGTTCACTACAATATGAAATGAACAAATTTAATGGCCCCAAATTGACGGCGCCTGCACTCTCCGTCCACACGCAGCGCACGTGCTGGGAATCTGATTTCGCCGTTAACAAATTTGGCGGCTTCGTTGGTTTCCATTTCCAATATGAAACAAAACACAACGGCGCCGTTTGTACTTTTACAATTTTGCAAAGTTCTTTCCATTTAGATGTACCATCCGATTTGAGCACATCCAAATCAATGGTATCATCCGGATCGGGTCAAATGTCGACTCACAGCTCCATTAGATCATAATTTTTCTATCCGATGGCTAATTTACGTATTTCAAAAGCACCACGAGATTTTGAACATTTTTTTTTCAACTTGGATTAGTACTTATCAATGACGATATAGACAAAAGAAATTCCTTCCAGTAGTGAGTGCTGGTGAGGGAAATCATCAAAGATGACTTCTTTATTGGCAAAACGAAGGGACTGTAACTGAAGCAAACATTTGGCTTTAGAGCCCTATCACGTAAGGAAGAAGAAAGACCCAGTTCCTTTCCCCGCTTGAGTATGGATTTTTCACCTTTTCAAAAATTTATGGCATTAAAAAACCTTTTTTTTTAGGTCAATATCAACAATGCAGTTCATCCACTACCTACCTACCAAATCTCTCTTTATTATGGCACATAAACGAAGGGATCGAAGAGCCTAGATAAAGTCTCTTACAGAGAGTTGTCTTAATCCCGTGATAACTTGGAAAAAAAAACAAAAATCTTTTCCCTCCCGACTGTTAACATGGAATCCAAAGAGGTTGTGAAGTACCTTCATTACCTCTCCTTCCAATAATGTCAAATTCTTACCTCTATATATACTATAGTATTATAATAAAAAAAACATGAGCTAATTGGGGATTTTATAAAATATTTTAAAATTTATCAAATATTTTTAGTTAGTGGCCCTTGAAAAGTATAAAGTTCACAAGCATTATCACTCAAAAGATTAAATATATTATTTTTGTGATTATAGCATGTAACAGCAAAGTTGAACATAGTACCCACTTACAATTATTACACGGTTATTAAAATTGAATTATTTTTCTTTTGAAACAAAATTTAAAATTCTCGTAACGGAGAAACGCAACTGTGGATTAGATGAATTTACGAAATTGCCCATCCCAAATCTGGACGTACGTGGTATAAACCACGCCACTAGTCCTGTACAGTCCTCAGCCTCGGCGCTGCCATTGGCGTTTCAGAGTTTCTACGGAGAGATTTTCCGAGGGTTTATCGATCTGATTCGCGGCGGCGATGGACATTTCGTCGGCGTTTCTTTTCCCGCCGCCTCCTTCGACGTTTGTGAACGTGATGACAGTGGTGAGTTCGACGGCGATGGCGATGTCCGGATTTTCCGAGATGAACGGAAAGCATTTGCAGTATTCCAAGTTCTGGAACGCGAATGGTGCTTCGAAATCTTCATCGGAGGAATCTAAGGTTTCGTCGAAATACGGAATGCTCTTGGCTTATACTCCGGCGTTTCTCGCCGGAGCGGCGTCGTTTTGGTTCTTTCCGAGCGACGATGGAAGGATTCTTCTCCTCAAATCTGCTCTCACCTTCCATTTCTTCAAGAGGATCTTTGAGGTACTCTCTCTCCCGCTCTACGCCTCTGTTTTAGTATAGTGCACTTCCTTCTCGATTCGTGATTAGGTATTCATATTCTCGTGAAATTAGTTCGATTCATTTTGGACTCCAGTAAGAATCGGGGCTTCCTTGAGAATCGGTTAATCTAATTCTTCGAAATTTTGTCGAGTTCTTGAAAATGGTGGAGAGATCCGCATCTCTTGTCCCTTTCCATTGCTCTGTACATCTTATCTTATCGTTCCTCTGGAATTTCCAAGTTTGGGACCACCGTTTTTGTTTGTTTGTTTTTCTTCCTTTTACGATAATAGGGAGATTATGTCAAAAATGTGTAGAAATTTTATATGTCGTATGAACTTGGCTAATTAATTAGACGATCAGCTCATTAATGTCTGGATTCATTAATTTTTCTTTTTGACTATTGAATTGACATTAATACTCTCTTCGAGAACGGCGTATTTTAGAATGATAATTGCTATATTATTGTTATATGAAGTCATGTTTAAGAAACAAATTACTAGGATTCTGTTTAATACTGATTTTGTGATGCTTCGCACTTGTACTATTCATTCCTGGCACATATATTGTTTTGCAAACATTTTGAAGGTTCTTCTCAAATTATAGTAGCTATTTAGAGAACAACAATACTTGGTAGCAACCCAATCTTCATGTTGTCAATTATTCAAAGTTTCACAGCTCTTTGATTTTTTGAAAAAAAAAATCTATCTTTTTATATTCCCTTGTAAAAATTTAATGGTCACCGAGAGGTAGAGGTAAGTACCTAAGTATTATTTAATAAACTTCTTTAGATTTAGAGAATATAAACTTCTTTAGATTTAGTTATTCTCTAAAGAATAATACTTAGGAAAATATTTGGTTCTTTAGGAGAAATATTGTCCTTACCATCCACTGAATGTTTAACAACTAAGAGACAGGATGCAAAAACAGAATTTTTTTATGAAAATTAATGAGTTGCCTTGGTGAGGACAAGATGAAGATAAGATTTGGTCATCATAGTCAAGGAACCAAATATTTTTCTAATACTTTAAGTCATCAGCTTGATAAATAGAGAGAGAAGTGCAGAAAAGAGATATTTCAAAAATCAAAGACATGTCAAATTTTGAGCGGTAGTTCTAAGAATAATATTACCTATCTCTTACTGAATAATATTACTATTCACCTGTTCACCATTAAATCTTTAATAAGTGGAGAGAGGAATGCAGAAAGAGCTAACTTTTCCTTCTCAGAAAATTAAACAACCATCAAATTTTGAGTAAGCAACAAAAATCTTTCTTGAATGTAGCAAAACAAATTCTCAAACAGTCCCTAACAGACTCTTCTCCTATTTGAAAATTCTATGCTCACAGGTACTGTTTGTTCACAAGTACAGCAGCAAAATGGTATTGGATACAGCATTCAAAATCTCTCTCAGCTACTTCCTCTCCACAGCAATCATGATCTACACTCAGCACCTCTCACAAGGGTTTCCAGCGCCATCCATTGATCTGAAAAACATTGGAATTGGTTGCTTTGTGATGGGCATTATTGGGAACTTTTACCACCACTATCTGTTGTCCAGAACCAGAGGAAAGGGGGAGAAAGAGTATAAGATTCCCAATGGAGGTCTTTTCTGCCTTGTCATCTGCCCTCACTATCTGTTTGAAATAATTGTGTATTTTGGGTTTGCTTTCATCTCTCAGGCAATCTTCCCACTGTGCTTCGCCACTGGCACTGCTTTGTACTTGGCCGGGAGGAGCTATGCCACTAGGAAATGGTATGTCTCCAAATTTGAACACTTCCCCAACCATGTCAAAGCCCTACTACCTTTTCTCTTTTAGGCTTTGTTTTTAGTTCGAAAAGGGGCGGATCGAGATTTGAATCTTTTGACTTCTTACAAAGTTACTTATGTCAAAGCCCTGCTCCATTTTCTCTTTTAGGCTTTGTTTTTAGTTCGAAAAGGGGCGGGATCAAGATTCGAATTTTTTGACTTCTTACAAAGTTACTTATAGCGGTCTTCTTGGGTGAAGTTTGGGTACAATTTCGACATCATATCCGTAGTTAGCACATTCGTCATGTAACTAGTCAAGTTGTGCTGCTCCTTCTTGCAGTTTAGACTTTTCTTGGTTGTTCTCTTTGTCTAGGGACGGCAGAAATATATTATATTATTAGTTGATAGTTTACCTCAAATTAATAAATTCGTTCCTTTACTTCAACTTTGTTATATTCTATTACTTTTTAGTTTTTTATTTATTTATAGAATTTGGTAAATATTATATAAATTATTATTTTTAATAACTAAGAAATATATATATATTTTATTTAAAGTAAATAATTTAAACTTTAATATTTTGTAAATTTATTATATTTCACTTGAAGAATTGTATTATATACAAATATGAAATAATAATTAATATATAATATTATAATTTTTGTTTTAATTTTTCATATAGAATTAATAATATAAATGAAAAATAATTTAAAATATTTTTAAAATTTTAATGAATTAGTTTTAAAACAATAAATTATATTCATTATTTTAAGTTCCATTCTCCTCTGTTTTTTTAATATTTATATGGAAAAATTAGTTATACTTGTTATTGAGCAAACTAATAATTAAACTACATAAACAGATATCAATACCCTCTTATGTATAATTTTGGAGCCGCCACTAATTTAAGGTATTATGCAACGATTTTATAATATGAAAATTTGTAGAAAATAATTATGATGTATTAAATTAATAATTTAAATAATTTATAAATTTTGAGATTGTTACTTTTAAATTATTTTTATTAAATTTTAAGTGAAGCTACATTGAACTAAAAATCTATCACCACTTTGTATCATTATTCAATAGCTCTTTTAGTATCATCCAAGATGTTAAAAGCTTCTGTATATATATATACACCTTACTTTGTCTAGAAATTTAATGCATAAAAGGTATAACTAAAATCCTTTAAAAAATATGGACAATAAAACACTTTTCGAATTTTTGTTTAAATTAAAATTATCGAAAAGAATAATATTTTAGTATTTAAAATTGGGCAAGAACTTAGAACTGTGAAAATAACTTTTAAGAAACTATAAATAAACTATGTTATATAAGATAAAATAAAATAAAAGACAATATGAGTATGAATTAAAAAAAATACATTTTTTTTTTCTGTTTTGGTTCTGTCATCTAATTAAAAATCAACCCGATGTATACAATTATATAAAATTTTAATGGATGAATTTAGTTGAAAATCAATTAAAAATTTTAGAGAAATTTTATTGTATAGCACAAGATTAATATATATGTTTTAAAAAAATACGTCAACTTTTCATTTTTTAAAATATAATATCAGTTTAACTTTTTTAATATGTCGCTTAATTTTAATTATATTAATGTGATAGTTTTAGTTAAAACATATATATCTATTGAATTGATTTGAGGCTCAAATTGTTATTAATTTTAATAGTAGTACTTTTACTTAAAATTTTAGACTTTTTGCTATATTTGAAAATAAATAATTGGCACATTTATTTAAAACGGTTCGGCCCAGTTTGGAGAAAACCGAACCGATGTCAGACCCCTTATATAATATCGTTCACCTAACTCGCACTCGCAGACTCGCAGTCTCCGCTCCAGTTGCCAAAAACTGAATCCTCTGCAAGAAAACTAAATCCAAATTCAACCTTCTTCTTCTTCTTCTGTTTCTGTTTCTTTTTTCTTTTGTTCATTTCTCTGGTTCGAGTTTTATCTCCGATGGAATGGTTCTTCATTTTACCAATCTTTCTCTAGAATTAAGAGGGCCAGTTCGCCATGATTCTCGTGTCAACGCCCTCTGCCGGCTTGCTTCCATGTCGGCCGGAATTTCAGCGGTCTCGTCCTCGTAAGGTCTGCTCTCAATTGGATCGAATTCTTCACCCAAAAGCTTCCGAATCACCCATAACGCTCAATTCGCGACGCAGAACGTGAGTTTCTCCTTCACGCATTTTCACAAACAGGTTCTGTGCACTTTGTGTGGAATCAACCTATGTGTCTGTCTATGTGTCTGTCTGGCTTGAGATTTTGCAGGTGCGAGTGCTTCGATTTGCATAATGATCTGATACCGTATGGCGATGCGTGGACTTGGCAAAAGGACATTGTCAGAGAAAAGAAGGCATTGATCGACGCGAACGAGGAATGCCCAGATACGCTTATTGTGTTGCAGCATCATCCTGTGTACACCATGGGCACGGACAGTTCAGAAGAATACCTCAATTTTGATCCAAAGGATTCTCCCTTTTCCATTTACCGCACTGAGCGTGGCGGGGAGGTTACCTATCATGGCCCTGGCCAGGTACTCGCTATGATTTTTTTTGGCCTTTTTCTATCATTTTGCACTACAAATTTTTTATGTTCTCTTCACATTGTAATCTGATGCTTCTTTTCCCCATGTTATGGTAATTTAGGAGTTGAATCTTTGATTTGCTGGTTTGGTTGTTTTAGAGGGTCATTTACTGTTTGCTGTGGTCTCTACTTGATGAAATTGATAGGATTTGTCCTGTGCTGTAGCTAGTTATGTACCCTATTATCAATCTGCGAAATCACAAGATGGACCTTCATTGGTACCTCAGGGCACTTGAGGAGGTGGTTATACGTGTTCTTTCCTCGACGTTTTCCATCAACGCTCATCGGCTCGATGGTTTAACGGGTGTCTGGGCAGGTATTCCTTGTGGGTCTTGGATGAAATTTTTATGTAGCGTATTGCAAATGCACATCTTTTGTCCACTTGCTGATCTGATTTTGATTTCTTCTCATGATTTTGATTGTAAGAGTTATTACCCTGTACTGATAATTTCTAAAGGGCTTTTAAGTGCTTAGTTTCAAACATTATAGATTGTTTCACTTGTTGTTTAACTGGAAATGGAGGCGGTTTTGTTACAAAGTCATAAGAATTTTAGTTCGCTTGGAAATTTTATCAGTACCAACTCGACGAACCAGTCTTATGTTAATAGCTTCAGTAGTCCCTAGTTGGACATTTTTCTTTTTATTTCTAAGAACACTGCCAGCTTCTTGAATGATTTTCCTCTCTTTTCCCTTTGCAGGAAACCAGAAACTGGCAGCCATTGGAATTAGGGTATCTAAATGGATAGCATTTCATGGATTAGCTCTTAATGTCACCACTGATCTAACTCCATTTAACTGGATAGTTCCATGTGGAATACGAAACCGCCAGGTCGGAAACGTCAAGGAGTTGCTTAGAGAAGTTGATTTACACACTGGATTTCAGAAGAACATACATCTTGACAAGGATTTCCAGTTGATTGATACCACTTTTGAAGCTCTGCTACAGGAATTCTCTGAAGTTTTTCAACTTGATATTCATCAGAAAACCATCCCCACTTTGGAAAGGTTCGTGAATCAAGCACCCAAAAGCTGAGGATCCTGTGGTGAGATATCTTATAATCTGTAAACTATAGCTGCTAAACGTTCCTCATTTGTTAGTTTATTTTACTAATATTAGGCACCAACACCCAGCTTTTTCGATCTTAAATCTGCAAACTACTGATTATTTTCCATCTTCTGGGTCTGAAAGGTTCATAATTTAAAGGTTAAAAAACCCTTCCAAACACTTTTGGTCAATGTAATTTGGTTAAAGGCTTTAACCAATTTAGTCCATATACTTTAGTTTGTAACGATTTAGTCTATGTACTCTCAAATGGGTAACAATTTAGTCTTTAAACTTTAATATGTAACAATTTAGTCCTTGTATTTTAAAGTTGATAACGATTTAGTCCTTATCGTGAAATTTTTTTTTTTGTTTGTTAAGTTTGTTATATATATAGATAGATAAACTATAGAGGGACCAAATATATTTATAACTAAAAAGATTAAATTGTTATATGATAAAATTTGACACTTAATTTTAATAAAATTATTTACGATAGGGATCAAATTGTTACAAATTTCAAACTACGAGGACTAAATTGTTGTTTCATAATTTAAAATAGTTTAATATATTTAAAGAGTTGTTTTGTTAATTTGTCGAAGTCAGAGGGAGATTTATCCATGGATAGTTCATTGTCTTGGGCGGTTTTCGTCCTTCTCACGGCATCAACTTCAATCGATTTCGAAGAAACTCATGGCAACATGTGGTAAAGAAATCAATTGAATTCATAAAGAAACGAAGTAACAATAATATGAAAAATAAAATAGATCTTTTTAATACAATTTTCCGACAATGATCTTCCCACGAAATAATAAAATAGAATGAAGATAATACTTGGAGCTGACGAAAATCATCCATCACCGTTCGTTTCAATCCTCTCTGCAGCACACAATTCAACAACAATGAAGAAATCTCTTTGGCAATATTTGTTGTTTTTTGTTTTCAATTTTGTGTGTATATATTTTTATTTTTTAAAAGTTTTCAAAATAAAAAACATATTACAAAGAGAAACAATCAAAATATTTTTTGTTTTTTTCATTTTTATTAATGTATTTTCAAAATGTTCATTTTGATCTGAACTCTCATCTTTGATTTATTGGTCACACTTATAGAATTTTAAAACAAATTTCACACCTAACTTAAACTCAACTCACAACTTTTAATTGGAAATATATGTCATTAGCACTGAACTATACCAATTTGACTAGAATCATATTAAAATGGTAGCAGTAGACAATTTTTGATTAAGAATAAATTTTGATAAAAATAAACTAAAAAAAAAAGTTGAAAGATGGATGATAATGAACATTTTTAAATTAAAGAACCAAAATAAAATTTCTTCCAGAGATTGCCTCCTCCTCCCTCCGCCATGGCCACTCTCACAACCTTCCTGTTTCCACCATTTTCTTCTCGCTCTTTCTTCCATTACCTTCGTTTCGATTCTGATTCTCGCAGCCGCTGAATTTCTCGGCAAGCATCTGCAGTATTCCAAATTCTGGAGCCCTAAAAACTCCGCCCACAAAATCCACCTCCATAGCCGCTCCGCCATGCTCCTCTGTTACGCCCCTGCCTTCGCCCTCACGCTCATGATCTCCTTCTTCTTCCCGCGCCACATTCACCCTGACCCGAGGATTTTTCTAATCAAATCGCTCCTCCTCCTCCATTTCTCCAAGCGGATCTTCGAGGTAAACTCTAATTACAAATTACGATTAGTTTCTCTCCGGATATCGAATTTTTCTCCTCCATTGATTGACGATTAACCGATTTCTCTCAGGTTGTTTTCGTTCACAAGCACAGCAACAAGATGGCTCTGAACGACGCGATTCTGACCTCGATTTGCTACATACTCTTCTCCGCCGCCACGATCTACGCTCAGATGGTCTCGCAGGATCTTGCGGAGCCGGAGATGGACCTCGTGCCGGCCGGATTGGCGCTGTACTCGATCGGAATCGCCGGTAATTTCTACCACCATTTTCTACTGTCGAAGCTGAGGAGAGAGGGGGAGAGAGAATACAGGATTCCGAAGGGCGGATTGTTCGAAGCGGTGGTGTGCCCTCACTACCTGTTTGAGATCATCGAATTTCTGGGAATCTCCTTCGTTTCGCAGACATTGTTCTCGTTCGTCTTCACCTTCGGATCGGCGCTGTTCTTGATTGGGAGGAGCCATGCCACCAGGAATTGGTACGTCTCTAAATTTGAAGATTTCCCTCCCCATCTTAAAGCTATTGTGCCTTTTCTTTTCTAGAAATTGCTATGCTCTGTAACAAATAACAGATTTGAATATTTGAATGTTGCTTAGAGTTTTTCTTCTCTGTTTTCGAAGGTCTCCGATGAAATTATTAGATTTCTCCGATGTTGATTTGAGAAGTTAAGTAGGGCTGTTGCCTAAAAAGTAAAGATTTTGAAGTCAATATGATTGAATGAGATCAACAATTTCAACTACAAGTTTACAATGGTTTAGTTTGACTTTAAGAGTCAATTCTATAAGTCAAAATCCCACGCACCAAACCCTTTTATGGTACCTAACTGTTTGTTTATTGCCAATATTTGTACCAATTTTGTATCACTCACCTGCTCCGATTGGTTCATACAGTCGTTGACTTCAAATTATCAACCTTACGTGTCGTACTAAAAAAAACGTGCTTTTTAAGTTATGATGTGACTTGTGATCTAATTTTCGATAGGCTAGATCTATGTACTAAGATTTTATCTATATGAAAATTAAATGAATAGTATACGTATCTACCCTATCTTCGGTAGATTTATTGTCTCTTTGAAATTATGTTTTTTTTTCTTCTTTTTGAGAAATTTGAAATTGTTAAAGGAGGATTAAATCATCACTCAATTCAAAAATTTAAACTGATGGGTTGAGTAAATTTAATTCATATATAAATATTTCAATCGAAATCAAGTTCAGCTGAATGACTAATTAATAATAAAGGAATGACTAAGGAAATAAAAATAAAAATAGTGTAAAGTGTTCTAACTTATTTGTTTTTCTTTTTTCAAATTGACATTTGGAATAGTTAACATATGTTTTATCCGCTGATTTATGCTCGAAGCAGCTGGTATGCTAGGTCATTAGTATAAAAATGCTCAAATATGTTATCGATTCGTTAAAATTTTAACTTTTTTTTAGTTCAAAAACTATAAAATAAATCATGGGCAAGTATTTGAAGTTCAAACATTTAAATTTAAACTTTTTTTTAGTTCAAAAACTATCAAATAAATAATGGACAAGTATTTGAAATTCAAACATTTAAGAAGTAAGCAATCTTTTGATCCATTTAACTATACCCTAAATTTTAGGATAATAAATACATAAAACAGTCACAAAAATCATTATATACAAAAGTATTCACAAATCTTGGAAGAAAAAAAAAACAATTCAAAGGTAATTTTTGTTTATTAAAAAAAAGAAAAAGAAAGAAAACAATTCAAAGTAGGGAAGAGGTTGACATTAAAATTTTTAAAATATATATTTAGTTTAAATTTTGCTAGTTACAGTTATAGACTCACCGTGGCTATTTTTGTAATTTTACAGTGGCAATATTTGTAATTTCAAATAGTTACTGGTTAATTATATATCCGTTGTAAATATATAGACTTTTCTGTTCATTACTTGATTCACGCGATTAAGCTTTCGAAAGCGCAAAATTTCGTTCATCTTCGTCTGTAAATTGGCACTATACCGTAGATAATTCCGCGCTCTGCCATTTGAACATCGAAAAAGCCACATATTCAACAATAAACTCAGTCTACACTGATCGAAAGGTAAAAAATTTATTCAGTTTCGACGCCGAAGACAAGAATTTTGTCATTTTTCATCACTTGAGTTGCCCTATTTTGAATCTGTAGGAGGAAACTGATCATCAATGGATCGACTAGATGGTTCAGCGAAGCTCATGATAGTTTCCGATCTCGATCTCACCATGGTATATTTCTTCAACCTAGCGACATCACGATTTATCTCCCTTGGAAAATTTTGGTGAAACGGGGATTATAATTTCACAGGTTGATCACGACGATAAGGAGAACACTTCGCTTCTCAAGTTTAATGCCCTATGGGAAGCCTACTACCGTCGGAATTCTCTGCTCGTATTCTCAACTGGTAGATCGCCGGCGATGTACAGAGAACTGAGGAGGAAAAAGCCTCTGTTGACCCCCGATATTACCATAACGTCTGTGGGAACGGAGATTGCGTATGGTGATCCGATGATTCCAGACGAAGAATGGGAACAATTTCTGAATCAAAACTGGAATCGAGATGTAGTCTTGGAAGAAGTCCTAAAATTTCCGGAACTCAAGCCGCAGGTAGAGATGCCAATTTGATGTAATCTGATTGAGGTTTTTGTTCCTTAGTTCTTTATTCTCGTCGCTTCTTGAGGATGCGTATTTTACCCCTAAATCTAATTGGTTTGATTGGGATGTTTCTTCAACCTGCACGACAAATCGAGGACATCGTAGCCAGAAACGGAGCAACGGCCTCATAAAGTTAGCTTTTACATAGATAAGGATGAAGCCCCAAAAGTGGTCAATGCTCTGTCTGAATGTTTGGAGAAACGAGGGGTAATTCTATTTTTGTTGGTCTGAACTGAACTTACTAAATTCAATTTCTATCTATCATAAATATTCTGCTTGTTCTCCCGGAGATAGCATAGGGGTGGGCGGAGCCTCCCCGGGATTAGTAGGAAGTGGGTCAAGGAGCGAGCACGGACGCCCCGTTACTGAAAAAAAAAAAGAGAAAAAAACTGTGTGTATTGTATGCTTGTATATCTTGTGAACTCATCTGCTCTTGTTTTCCTTGTATTGTGTTGAGAGCAGGGAAGGTTGAGTGTTCCTTTTAACTCATTGAATATACTTTGTCAGTTAGATGTAAAAGTAATCTACAGCAGCGGCATTGCGTTGGACATATTGCCAAAAGGTGCTGGCAAAGGCGGGGCACTTGCGTATCTTCTCAAGAAGTTCAAAGCTGATGGGAAAGTTCCAGTCAATGTTCTTGTTTGTGGCGACTCTGGAAACGACACCGAGCTTTTCACTGTTCCTGATGTCTACGGCGTGATGGTCAGTTGCCTCAGAAGCCTTCATCACCCAAGTACATACCAATGAATCAATGATGCATCATCATCAACATATCCTTGTAAACAGTGCGATTTGTGGTATCATTCTTTCCCTCGATTGTGCAGGTAAGCAACGCACAGGAAGAGCTGTTGCAGTGGTATATCGAAAATGCAAAGGGCAATCCGAAAATAATTCATTCGACCAAGAGATGTGCGGGTGGGATCATAGAGGCAATTGGCACCTTCCAACTTGGTCCAAACTTGTCTCCTAGAGACATGATAGATTACAGAGGATGCTGCAAAGTGGAGAGTGTGGATCCAGGCTTTGAAGTCGTAAAGTTTTATGTGCTGTATGAGAGATGGAGACGCGGTGAAGTGGAGAAATCGGAGCTGTATCTCGAGTATCTGAAGTCCATCTTTGTAAGTCTCACATAGTTGTTACCATTACAGTTATATGGAGTTAAGATTCAAATGTAAGCTTCAATTGATCCCTAAGATAAGAATGGTTGTTGTTTCAGTTTCATGATTTGTGTTGTGTGTTTGAATGATGGTTGCAGGATGCAGGAGGAATAGTAGTGGATCCATGTGGGGTGGAGAGAGGTATGGAGGAATGTATAGATGCAATGAGAGGGTTATATGGTGATAACAAGAAGGGGAAGGAGATGCCATTCCGAAGCTGGATAGACCGACTCTCGTCCACACAGATTGCGACCGACTCCTGGCTTCTCAGGTTCCATAAATGGGAATCGTCTTCGTCGTCCTCACCCAGTAACAGAAAACATATTTCTCTCTCATTTTTTTTATTACGTTCTTATTAAGCAGTAGTTGATTTTGTTTTACACAAACAGGGAATCCGTTTTTGGGGAGCTTAACTACAGTTCTAATGACTTCACAGTCACAGGTAACACAATCATTCAGAGGCCCCGATTCTTGTTTTACATTTTTAAATTTTATAAGAAATGTAAGCATTTTACAACTGATTATGTTTCTTGTTTTTTATTTTTTGAAAATATTCTTCAAATTGTATAGAAATTTTAAAAACAGCGGTTTCCGTTTCTAATTTGTTACAAAACATAAATATAAATATTGCCTATCCTTAAAATCAGTAAAATCAGAAGTGTTGGAATTCTATTTTTCTTTATTAAAAATGAAAAAACAAAAAAACAAGAACCTTATCAAGCAGGCCTTTATTTTTACTTGTTTTTTGGTTTTCTTTTGATATTTTCTGCATTTTCTTGAATATCAAAGGGTTTGATATGGAATTGGATGCACGTGCATCACACATGGTTGGATCAGGATGCTTCACCTTCACAACCTACATCTACATCTACATGGTTCTTCTAAAACTTTCTTTTCCCTCTTTAAAACTTCATACGTTACAATAATTTGCCAACATGATAATTCTGTATATACCATTTTTCTACATTGAATTATATAATGTGATAAAGTTTATTATTAATTATACAATTTTTGTATTATTAATAAAGTCTTTCATCGTATACTAATAATTTGTGAGTATGAGGTATATTACTGTATACCTTTTTGTATTATTGATTAAGTGTATCAATTATATACTTATATTACTAATACAAGCGTTCCGCAATTATTTATGTTAAATATGCTATTATCACAAAAGCCATTTAAATTTTGTTTCTTTTTACTTGCAAAAAATTATCTACACTAAATTGTAACTTTTTTAATCTCTTTCTAATATTTTATAATCGTAAGTACATCAATAAACTTTGAAAGTTATACACAATGAGATCATAATCTGATGATTAAAAAAAACTGTGGACGTCTCTCCCTAAAATTCTATAGATATCATATAATGATGAAATGTTATAACATGAGCTTCATGCTATTTTAAAACCAAGAAATTTTCTACACAGAGAGGATATGATGATATGAAGATGAATGGAACAGAGAGGCCTTTGCAATTACAATCCATAAATTCTCAGGGGTCCTGAATAAATGGCCGAGCATTCAAATTTTCCTAAAAATAATTGTTAATGTTTAGAACAAACTAGTGCCTACGGCTGACTACTGCTGGTTAGAACTTAGAACTGTACCTGCAATATACAAATGGCGAGTGCAGCAACGATGATTGTTGCAATAACGGATGCAGTTCCACGAATTCCCGACGATGTAGACCTATGGATGAAACAAAATCAACATCTTAAAGGTATCGAAAAACTTTCTTTGAATTTAGATAAACAGTGTTAGAATCGGAATTCAGATCCAAGGGGTGAGAAATGAGAGCAGGAAGAAGCATGAAAATAGAATCTGAATTCACAAGATGCAGCAATTCACAGAACAGAACACAAGGGAATGAAGAGTAATGGAAATCATAGGATGATGTGGAGCAGTTAGTAGTTACCTTGCGACGAGGTCCTTGACCGAGTCAGTTCCGAGTCCGAACCCGAAAGGAAAAAGTGGATCATAGTGTGGATCTCCTACATTCATTGGTAGTTGATCAACGGATTTAAACCATGTTCTTGGAAGCTTCCCACTGAACCCATGGTCTCCATAGAGGCAATCAGTGACTCCTAGGCCCTCGGTGCCTGGTAACCAAGCTGCTACAAGAGCATCAATAGATGAAATGTATGGTTCCATCACAATTGGCCTTCCAGAAACGACTACCACCACACACTTTACAGAATCACAAACATTTTTTATGGTGTTTGGACCAGGATCCAACATGGTGAGCGTAGTACTATCTCCTACACTCTCGGCATACGGCATTTCGCCAACGACAACAATGGCATATGAGAAGTCATTAGACTTGACAAAGTTGCTGTCGGGATCCTCACTGAATACGACCTCTGTGCTCGGGTCGACTGTTGATTTGATGGCAGCAAGAATGCTGGTTCCTGAAAATTGGGAAAAGGAAATATCAAAGGGAAGGTTTTTTTTTATTAACTTGAAGAGTGAGTGAACATAAAGGAGAGAATAATATTAATAAAAGCTTATGAGTTTAGTGATAATTAAAATAGAGTAAATGGTAAAAATACCATTTCTTGATAACTGGTTGGATTTTGCTGGGAGATATTATCAAAGCACGTAAAGCAATAATTTAACCGCTTATGATTCTTTTATGTACAACAAGTGTGAGGATGGGTCCTGAATCTCCAACTTCTAAGAAAGGAGTAAGATATCTTCACGACCTTTGATTTATGGTTATGTTAGAATGAGAGAAAAGAACGTACCTCTTGTACCATTGTTGCCACTGAACCCTTGCCATGCGATTGTCCATCCACCACATTGATATCCTAAATTATCAACATGAGTACCAGCAACCAGGATCTTAGGGGCCTTCTTTGGAAGGGGTAGCACCGGTTGGCTATCGTTTTTCCCATTCTTCAGCAGCACCAGCGACTGCCTCACAGCTTCTCTTGCCAAGTCCCTATGTTCCTATAAATCATAGATGCAATATTACGCCCATCAGACTTATCACTCCACAGAGGTGTATGAGAAGGTTTGTGAATAACTACCTACTTCCTATGAATGCTCGTTTACTTAGACATGAAAACAATCAGATTTTTGTCATGAAATTTATTATACCACATTGTCAGGGGATGAATGGATTAATTAGTAGTACTAGATTGAGAAAGAAGGTTATATCGGACCTTAAGATAAGGTTAGAGAAGTGAAGGGCATTAAGAAAAATGACCCCCATCTAATTTTCAAACTAATAACCAATTAAAATTAACACTAGCTATATATTCTGCTATAGTTTGAAGTCAGACCTGGCTCCCGAGCTCATTGACAAGGCTGTAATCTCCCATGGGGTTCTCAAAAAGACCCATTGAAAACTTGACCGATAAAATTCTCCCAGCAGCATCATCAATGCGATCCATTGGGATGACATTGCTCTGCACTAGATGCGTAAGATCATCAATGAATTCTGTATACTTGTAAGGAACCATGACCTGCAGAACACAGAACCAAAGCCTAAATACTCCCACTTCCATTATAAAATTTTGCATCCAATTAGTCATATATACAGTCCAAACTTGATGTTATTTTTCCCTAAAGAGAGGCCACCAACCATGTCAATGCCAGCTAAAATTGCAGCTTGGACAGAGTAGGTGTAGTTAGAATGTGGCGGAGAAGTAATTCTGTCCAGGCCCTCCCAATCTGAGATGACAAAACCCTGAAAATGCACAAAGTGAAATTAGTAACCAACATCAGATAGTGGCATAATTTCAGAAGAGGTGCATCAGCAAACGTTCCTTTTTTTTTTTCTGATAATCGGGAGGTGGAGTTTTGCTCCCCTATATCCAGGAGACATCAAGGATTTCTAGTGTTAGCTCATCGGAATGTTCAAACTTGAGGCCTCTAAATCGATATAACCAAAAGACCCCAAACCCTTGTCAACTAGGCTGCCCTTGAGGCGCATCAGCAAACGATTTTCAAAAACAAATTTAAATGGTCAGACCTACCTTAAATTTAAGGGTGCCCTTGAGGAAGCCAGTAATGAGCTCATGGTTTGCATGCATCTTTACCCCATTCCAACTGGAATAGGAAATCATTACCGATGAAACGCCCTTGATGATCGAATCATAGTAGGCAGGCATGTGAATGCTGAGCAGTCCATGCCAGTCAATAACTGTATTGTTCTCATTGATGCCATTAGTTGTCCCACCATCTCCCACAAAGTGCTTTGCACAGGCGATAACCTTCTTTCTGCAACAAAAAGTTACAAAACTATATTAAACTAACTTTGCAGAGAAAGTTAACAAACAAATCAGATATGGTTTCTGCAATTTGGTTGAAGAACATCAGTTTCACAGATGAGCATATGCAAAGCTACATTCCTAAATTTGCAACATTTCAGTGTTCAACTTTCAGAATGTTATATTAAAATGGACCTACACATTTATTTACCATATGGGGTTTCCCTTGATTAGAAGATCATCAGAAACATGAGACTATTGATTCCACTGCATATTTTTTCATGGCAAAAAATTTCCTAACTGGCGTGGAGAGCCTTTTAGGAAACATTATGCATGAACTCACAATTTAATATTTTAAACAAAAATGAAATTCTACATCTTCTAAGGCCATACGTTCCGCCAACATATGGAATCCCCTTCCGATAATTAGCAGGAGGTTCTCCTTGCAGACCAGGAATAATCTCTGTCATCTCTTGCACAATTTTTGGATCCTCGCTGTAGCTTTCATAACATCGCCCCCACCTCGGGTCCCTACATACCTAAAAGATGGATTCAAGGGAAAGAAACTGTTATATATCAAATCCAGCACTAAAACAAATTGTGCAACATTCAACAAAACATCTGTTTTTGGAAGTCTTAGATAATAATGTGTTTACCGCAATGCATGGAGCAAAGGCAAAAGAAATCCCCGTAGCTCTAACTTCAAGTGCTGTTGCAGCACCAATCCTTCGAACTAGGTCAGGATTTCTGTTAAGGGAGAGGCAAAGAACAAATGTAAAGAGGTTATGACGTTCTTATGTGCAGGGCATAAGGAAAGGACAATCACTTGCCTGGTTGCTCCAAGTCCAACATTATGAGGAAATACGGTAGCATTGTAAACGTTGTTATGGCCATGAACAGCATCAATGCCATACATCATTGGGATGCCCAATCGACTAGAAAGAGAGCCCTTCTGGAATTCATTTATCATGTTCACCCAATCTTCAGCACGAGCATCAGGAAGCGGCACACTTCCCCCGCCACTTAGCACACTTCCTGTACAAATTTCACAGTTCATGCTACCCTTTCAGAAAAAGTTTGTCATTTTACATTTTACTCTGATAATCAAATTTTTCATAGCTATTGTTTGGGTTTTGCATGAATACAAACTCTAGATTATGTGTCCTTGACCATGAATTTCACATCGCTTCAACAGATTAACACATATACATATTTATTGAATAAATTTCAAAACTACAGAACTCACAACATTATAAAGCTAAAAATACTTCGAATATAATTCTAATAACATGTAACAATGAAACTTTGTGAAAGATCCCTCGAGCAAAAGAAGAAAGCAATACACAAAAAGGTACTTTAACATGACGAAAATGATCTCAATTGATCTTCAGAGAAGTGTAATATTCACTACAAAGATATTATATAGAGCATCTATTTATATTTAGCGACGAAGGGGCGAGAGAAACTTATTTGCCATCCCAACTTTTAGCCACAAGAATCAAATGTAAAAATGGGGAGGAAAAGAAACGCCAAACCCTACTCTGAACTATACTAGACCAGAACTTCAGATAAAAACTCGAGCATTTACATAAAACTGAGAGAGAAATTATTGCTTTACCAATGGAATAATCTTTCATAACTGTAACATTGGCAACGCTCCTGTCAATCTGGACCATTTGACCGATTTTCTCCTCCAGAGTCATTCGGCCAAGAAGGTCCATAACTCGAACAGCAACTGGTTGTTTCGGATCTTTGTATTTCAAATACTCCGCGTCCACCGTTGTAGCCCACCACCACCAACCCAAGCACAGAATCGCAACCACCTGAACGAAAATCTGGGCCATCTTCCTTTTCTGAGAGGTGAATCCACACTGAAAAAGACCAAAAATCTCCACAAAATTAAACCCATTTGCTGCACATTGTACTTGGTTGCCAAGAAAATGCAGAAAACAGAAGAAAGAAGAAAGAAGACTCTCTCTTACGATCGGTAATTGCCCGAAATCGCAAGCTCCAAATGCTATGAGAGTTCTTCAGTTAAGCCAACTTTAAGTTTCTAATTTATGGGTCCTTTAGAACTAGAAGTAACCTAAGAGAGTAAGTTAATTAATAGTATCCCTTCATTCTTTTTCGGGTTCTTTTCTCTATTCTGAACCCCTCACATTCCAGCGTCGTTGCCTCTGTTTTCTTTCAAATTTTGAGGCCGCAATCGATTTCTGGAGACAAACCGAAGAACACGCATCCCAATGGAAGGAAAAAAGAGAAACCCAAACTAGAATCAACGAAGAACAGACACTAATTTCAGTTTCTGTTCCCGCTCAACCCCATTTTCAGAATCCCAATCAAATACAAACCAGTAGAAAAAGCAAATACGGCGACAAAAATCGAGAGAGATAGATGTTACCTGAAAGTTTGAATGAGAGTAGGAGGAAGCAAAAAACCGTAAGAGGGATTGAAGCCAATGGTATAGTGGTTTAAAAGAGAGTGAGGAACTTTGGATAAGGCGAAGAGAACTTTTGAAGTGGTGAAAGAAAGAAAGAAAGAGAAAAAAAGGTGTGGGAAAAATGGGAATGGTGATTCGGTAAAAGTGGAGAGAAAGCTAAAACGTGGGTGGTGGGCTGCGATTTTAATGCAAAAAAACGCAAAAGAGAGAGATTCTTTGGGATTTTCTTACGCCATTACTGAACCTCAACGTGTCTTCTGAGTTACAGTCACAGTTGTGGGGCAAATCACAAATCCAAGGTCCCCGCCATTTTCAGAAAAAACGATTTTCAACTTTTTACTTCAGTTTCCCAAAAACGAACCAAAAAAAAAAAGAAAAGAAAAGAAATATTTTTTACAATTTCATATATTCAAGACGCTAATTATAATTTATCTGTTACGTTAAAAAACGTATTTGGAATTTGTACTCCATCAAACGATTTGGAATGTTGGAAACATTAAAACTTAGTTATTATAGTTTAAAATTTATGATTTTTCGATTTTTATCATCTAATGAAACTAGACTTTTTAATTTAAAAATATATTTAGTCTCCGGCTACTTTATCTATATAAGAAATTTTACTAAATCTTAAAATAAAAAATTTCACGATAGAGGTTAAATCGTTACAAACTTTAAACTAATTATTACAAAAACTGACGGACTAAATTGTTATCCATTTGAAATGATAGTGATTGAATTATTAACATTATTTCAATAAAATTATAGAGACCATACAATTTTTTTAACCTGTGTTTGATGTTTTAATCTATAATGATTAGACATTTTTCATTTTATTTTTTAATGTTCAACACATTTATCATCCATCATAAAGAAAATAATATATATATCTATAATGGGAACAAATGAAAAAGTTCTACCGTCACTTTTTCCCCCTTATTTTTATTAGTGAAATACTCATTCAAAACCATAAAAAAGATAACTTTTGTTTAGTGAAATATAAATAAATAATTACCAATAGAACCACTTATCACTGATATATTTCGGGCTCTCTTTTTATATCATTCTCTTCTCCAATTATAATTAATATTGATACACATTTAGAATTCGTTTATAATGTACTTGTTTTTTATTCCCTGTTTTCCGTTTTCTGTTTATTCTTTCTAGTTTTCTTAGAACTATAAACATGAATATATTCGGTGACCAAATTTTTATATTATTTTTTGGAAAGAGAAATAGAACACGAAAAGCTATCAAATGGACATTTATTGATTTTTTTAATCATTTTTATCCCACCCGTGATGATGAATATACTAATATGAACATGGTTCAACTAGTTGAGATATATGTTTTAGACCATGAAATTGGAGGTTTAAATCTCCAAACATTATTATTGAACTAAAATAAATTATTAAATTAAAATACTCTGTCTTGTAAGAAAAATAATGGAGGAGACAATTGTCAGAATTTTGAAAATGACATCGTTATTTATATTTATGAAACAACAAAACATTTAGAAGCAATTTATATATCTTTTTTTTTCCTCTTTTTGATAAAAAGAGTAGTAAAAACATCATAAATCAGAAAGGTACCAATGGTTGAACTAACCGTGTATTGATTAAGTAAATCGACTATTATTTTTTAGAAAATCATAATGATAAAGTATTTTAGATTCTTGTTTTCAAATAATGAATCCAGTAAATATTACTAACCAAGCAAACCTTAATCTTAATCAAGTGATTAAGTAAATCGACTATTATTTTTTATAAAATTATAGTGACAAACTATTTGTTTAAAAAAAAAAACTTTATGGTGGATAATTATAGAAGGGAGCAATTGCCAGTTGGGTTAGTTGGGTTCCACTTCCACCTGACAGTTTTTAATATATAAGATATAATTATTTTTTGCTTTTTGTAATTTGGAGTTTGGTAGTATATGGAAAAAGAAACACACACATAATGAAGATTTTGAAATATGCATATAATATAGATATTTATTCAATTTAGAGAGTTTTTTTTTTTTAAAAAAATCAAATAAGCATGGAGAGATATTATTGATAAATGATGAGAGAGAAGAAAACGAAAGAAAACAGACCTGCCTCCATTTCCATAATAGCTTTAATTTAAGCATCGTGAATGGACAACCCTACACAAAAGAAGAGAACCAATAAGGAAAAAAAAAAGTTAATTTAAAAACAAATTTTTATAAAATAAATTGTTTCATTTTCATAAATAGCATTGCTTTTTATATTCTGTAAAATTAGCCCTTTGTCTATTTGGTGCACGATATTTTTATAAAATTATGGGCAATGCAAAACCAAACATAATTGAATTCCATATTGTTGTTGGAATTTGTAGTTAAAAGGCTTATCGGGTTAAAATAATATTTTTTTCTAATAAGACTAACATGCAGAGTTAGAAATTTAACTAATTAAATTAAATCCAGGTTGACATTAAGATAATATATTTTATAAAAAAAATTGGTATCAAACGTGTCATTCTTTTATTTCTAAAATTTTACCAAAAAAAAAAAACATTATAATAAAAACCTGTACTAAAAAAATATTACTGAAAAAAATTTCTTAATAAAAAGCATGAAATGAACTCTAAGGATTTGTTTAGTAATATTCATGTTTTTTGTTTCTCACTTCCCATTTTCAATTTTATGCATTTGATACTTATTCATGTTTCTTGTTTTTCTAACGTTTTTAATATTAAATTTCTTATTTCTTCTTCTTATTTTCAAATTTTTTCGAAATATAGATAAAAATATTATTTATAATTTTTTATTTATAAAATGCATAACAACTATTAAAAAATAAATATAACATAAACATTTTAAATACTCGATTTCCATATAAAATTTTTACTTTTTTTAGTTTAAAATTTGAGAGAACCCCAAATGTTACAAAACATGTTTTTTTTTCTTTTCTTTTAATAAGAAAAAGAAAAGAACTATAAATAAAACATATAAAACATAGTTATGTTTTTCTTTTTATTAAAGAAGAGAAAACGAAATAAATAACATAAAATAGAAAAGCGAAATAAGAACGTGATTAAATTGGATCTTAAAAGATTGAGTCTACTTTGAATGTTATAATAATAATAATAATTATTATTATTATCTTTTACATTAACACGGTTGATGAGATTCAGATCGTATTAAACTTATATATTCATAGTTGAGAATTCATTATGTGTGTAGATTTATTTATAGATTTGTTAATCTTCTCAAATAAATAACTTTATATTATATAAAATTAAATAATTGTTGCATATATTTTTAAGTTTTTATATTCGATTTATTTAAATAATTCACACACAAATTACACAACAAACATCATGTCAAGCACGATTTCATTCGTCAGCCCAAATGTGGATTGGATAAGAAATAGACAAATAGAGACAGAATGAAAAATATTTATTTATTTATTTATTATTATTATTATTCTTTTTGGCAAAGGGAAAGGGAAAAAATTTCAATGATATGTGTTATGTCATAGAAAAGAAAACGCCATCATCAAGTAGCCTGAAATATAATATTTTAAAAATACATGTGTGTCTATATCAAAATGGTCCCACTAAATTATGAACCTTCAATCGTAGGTAATATAGTTGTTTATGAAGCGCACTTGATATAAAATAAGCCATTAAAATTTAAATATTTTATCTGACCTACTTTAAAATATCATTATTCCTAAGCTAGCTTAATTGATTAAAAAACTTATTTTCGATTAAATATCAAGTTCGAATTTCTAACTCTACAGGTTATATTCAAGAAAAAAAATAATATTAATACTAATTCTTGCTAAATTTTTGTAACATATTACCATTGATAAAAAAATTACGGGTTAAATTCCCACGTGTTGTGCTAAAAAAAATTAAGTACAAGTTTCAACTAAAACATCTCAAAACTGAACTTGTATAAAAATATTACTACAAAGAGGACAGAGTATAGAGAAAGTTTAAAAATTATTTTGTCTTTTTTACTTTTAGTTCGGATTCTTTTTTATCCTGTAGTTTTATTTGTTAATTTTAATTACCGTACTTTCAAAATATTTATTTTAATATTAATTTATGTATTTTAAATAATGACCACTTTGATCCTTTCTTATAAAATTTTATACACACTAGAAATTTAGTAGCTGAATTATCAAACAGTAAATGAGATAAAAGTGAGGGTGAATGAACAAAATTTTTGGAAAAATTTAGTGACTGAATGGATGCAAATAAACTAAAAAAAAAATTGACTGACTAAAATGAAAGTAAAGTATAAAGATTAAAAGGAAAAAACAAACTTGAAAATGGGCAAAAATGAATCAAAAGTTTAAATTCTCGCTCCAAAACATCATACGTATATGATATATGTGGATATGTCTATCCGGTTGCAGTTGCTCTTAGAACGTTTTTTTTTTTATTATTATTATTATTATTTTTTGGCATGAGAAGTGGAAATGTGGTAATCAGAAAAATTGAGAATCGAACAAATTAAATGTTGCAGAGAATCAGAAACCTGCTTAATCGCTACCTGTAATCGAAGATCTTCCGGTGGCACTCTGGTACGGACGAACAGTTCTTCAGATCGATCGCAAACAAGAAGCGAAGGGGAAAATACAAATCACAGATCAGATCGGATGGCAAAAAAAGAAACAGAGAAGTGAATCGGAGACACAGCAGAGTTCCGTATTATATATATATCTCAGAAAAAAAAAGAGAGAAAAATTCATCGATTCGGAATGCGAACGTGCGTACATCAAATTTATCGGATGTAAGCGAAATCGAATCGAAGCCACGTTATCGTTCTAATCTTTGAAGAGAAATCGTCGTCTTCAAATTTGCCAGAACCACAAGCAATCGGTATTCAATTTCAACAGGGAACAGAGTTAGGTCGATTCGTACGTACCTGCAATTTTCCAGAATTTCTCGTTGAAATTTGGAGCGGAGGAAATTTTGCGATCGCCGTACGGCTGCGGAAGTAGGAACTCTAAGACGAGAGAAATCTTGAGCCAGACGGACAAGTTATTGATCGTCGGTCGCTTTCGTGCCAAATTCATACAAATTGTATTCTTTACATTTATAATATTATTTTTTAAAAAATATCTGATTTGATTCCTTTTTTTTTTATTTAAGGGATTTGGTAACCTTTCTATTTTTTGGAAAAATGTTACAGTTTTCATCCCAATTGTAATAATCCAATAAATGAATTAGGGAATTTTTTAAGAGGCAATTACATAGTATAAAAGGGATAGACCAACTATGCCAACATTTTCCTTATTAACTCTGACTTTTTGGCATGCTTAATTAGTTAATTTTAAAATTTAACAACAAAATTAAAAACGAAATTTACTTTTCTACTCAAAGTAAGTGTCAATGGTTTACTTTGTATAAAAGCGTCACTACTACTCTTTTTCCTTTATTGACTAGCAAATTTTCTAAAAAAATTAAAGTACATCGGTGAAAAATGTTTCTTTTCGTTAATAAATAAATAATATATATATATATGCCAATCTTAGCAATAGACATAATTAAGTAGTTAAGACATCTTATTCTTTCTCTACATATTGGCGTTTGTTAAGGATGAATAAATCACCACTCGATTTAAAATCTTAAGTTTATGTGTTGATAAATTTAATTCAAATATATAATATAGTTTAATCTTCATAATTCCCTTACTTTTCAAAATGATTTTTATTGCATATATAATAAACTTGAAAATAGGACATGGAAAATTGAAATGATGGGAGAAAGTTCCTTATGAAATCAATAATGCACATCACGATAAATTAGAACTATCAATCAATTCAATGTCGGAGGTCTAAATTAAGTTATAGCCTATAAGAGGATATGATTTCAAAAGTCTATGAGAAATCAAAATTTGAAAATTTTATTTTAAGTCTAAGGTTCAATATAATAAAATTGAAAATTTTACGTAAAAATTCATATACGCTGCCAAATTTACGAGTAATTGTTTTTTAAAATGAATCCTAATATTTTAGGGTTGAATGAATTTGATTTAGGGGATGTTTAAAGAAAGTCCTTAAACAACATTACGATTGTTATTTTCATAAAATTTTTAGTTTTATTTTTTTATTTTTTATAATACAACATGTGGGGTGAATGATCGAATTCACAACCTCTTGTTTGTAGATATATTTCAATTATCATTGAACTACGCTCATTTTGACCATAAATTTTTTAATAATTAATATTAGTTTTTACTTTTATTGTCAATCTCAACATTACTCAATTTGTCAAAACTCTACCTAGCTCATAAGTGGTTGAATTACAAAAAAAATTATTCTGCTAAGAGGATTCAAATCTCTCCCCGTTCGCGAAGCCATAAGTTATCCTTATATTATTGAGAGATAAGAACGAATTGGATTGACTCGACTAATATAATGGATGGAATGCTGAGCTTGGTGTTAGAGTTCAAATAAAATTGAACTAAATACAAGGAGTAATTTTTCAATACAATTTCTCTATACAATTTAAACAAACTTCTCAACTCTCAACTACCGAAATGAGTAATCTTATTGAGAATGCAATCTCAACTTTTTCCAAAAACTTTGCAATGAAAAAGAGATTAACTGAATCACATTTGGAAGCAAAATTGAATTGAAAAGTTATACTTTACTACACAAAAGGGGAAATATATTGTCCCCTTAATCAAAGAAACCAAAAAAGGTATAATCTCAACCCCAAGCAAACCAATTCCAAACCCTATAAATACCACCAAACAAACCCTAAGTTTTACCCACCAAAAGAAAATCCGACCCACCAAAAGACCCGACCCGACAACAAGAAGAAAAAAAACCGCCATTTTTTCCGGCGACTCAGAATGACGACGCTGAGGCCAAGAACCGGCGGACTTGACGCCCTCCGCCGCCAATCCTTCCGCGCTTATTACGAGCCGTTCACTCCGAAGGTTGAAGAGAAAGAAGAAACCGAAGCCCATATTCTGCAGCTCGAACTGACAGGTCGGAGCTCGACCACATTTCGCCGTCTAATTTCTTTAACTTTCATTAACGTGTTCCAAAATGTCGCCGTCGTGTTGATTGTTTTGGTAGATCTATTTTTTCGTTCGATTCTGAATTTGTTTCTCTTGTGATCGAATCGTTTCTCAGATTTCGACAAGCAGCAATTTAAGTTTAGGGTTGATGAAGGGACACGGACGGTGGCGGTGACCGGAACTCGGAACGCGGGAAATAACAAATGGTTAAAATTGGATAAAACTTACCCAATTCCAGAAAATTGCTTAATCGACAAAATTGATGATAAATTTGAAGGGGGAATTCTAACCATTACAATGCCCAAACAAATTACCGGAGCAGAGACGGCGGCGGCGGCGGCGGCGGAAACGGCGGTGGCGGCCCCGCCTCCCAAAGAACCAGAACAACCAACCCCTGAAATCTCGCCGGAAACAGCCGCCACGCCGGAGACAAAGACTGAAACTAAAGCGCCGGAGGAGGCTCTTCCAAAGGACGATTCTAATTCAGTGAAGCCAGCGGATGACGGTAAGGGAAAGTCTGCAGAACTCCAAAAGCAAGCCTCGGCGGGGGCCAAGGAAGAAGCTCCGCCGCAGGGCGCCGCCGCGGCTGAGAAGGGTCCGGCACAAGGAGATTCCGGCGAGCCGAAAACGACGTCGCAGGATGAGAAAATCGGTAGCCCAGATGAGAAGCCAACGGAGAAGAGAGAAATCGAAAATCAAAACCCAGAACAGGGGAAGGAATCCAAAACAGAGGAGGTGGTTAAGAATCAAGAAGAGCGCAAGGTTGGAACCGGAGCTCCATCTCCGACAGGGACCACGGCGGCAAAGTTTGCCCGCGGCGTCACGGTCGGAAGGATGCCGTCGCCGGCGATGGCGAGTCTGGCGGCGGCGACTGTGATCGCAGTGGCAGCGTACTTCGCATATGTTTATTACGGATTGCTCGCGACGAAATGAAGCCGAAGTTTGCAACGGGCCCCACAAGATTTATATTGTTAAGAAATAAATGATAATTTTTTCTAACTTGTTCAAATTTTATTTGTTTGTTTGTACAATACTTAATAAATATATTAAAATAAAATATTAAGAAAGTAATAAGAATACTTCTTTTTTTATTAGTGGGATTGTCAAATTTTACTGACCATTTATACACCCTTTATACTTTGGATAAATTTTAATAGATTATGGAATCAAAACCAATATCTTGATATTAAACTTTGAAGAACAAGTATAACGAGACATTATATATAAAATAATTTAAGTTTTAAATAATAGTTTGGTCCTACCACTTTAATTTTGGTTCCTGCATTTTCAAATTTTATGTATTTTAGTCATCGAAGAATTTGAAGTCCATTTTGGTCTTTGTATTTTTAGAATGTGACCAATTTAGTCTCTACTAGTACAATTTTAACACAACGTATTAACATAAAATTATGATTATATTTCAATAAATTTATTGAGTGAAGTGTCAGGCTATGAAATAAATGAGATTAAAAGAAAAATAGACTAAAATAATAATTTTTTAAAAGTACATATATATCAATAGATAGTTTTAAAAATACATGCTAAAATAAAATAAGTATCAAGATTGTCTTTCTTTCTTTTTTTAGAGAAGGTATGAAAAATTTAAACTAAAATAATTTGAATCACTAGCATTTTAACTAAGACTCGTATGGGCAAAATTTAAACATATTTAATAACTATAAAAAGGGCCTTTTCTTTTTAGCCTTGAAGAGGTAGCCTAGTTAGCGAAGGTCTAGGGTCTCTTGTCTTACTGACTAAGAAATCTCAATTTCGAGCTTAATACCAAAAACGATTGATTTCTCTCCCCTAAACGCTCCGAACCAGGATTAACATCATAAACTTAACTTATCTATAGGTTCCTCTTTTGAAAATATTTGGAGTTCTCTCCAAAAAAATTCCCCAGCTCCCAAGAATGTATACAGTGTGTATCCATAGAAACTCAGCTCTCTCTCAACAATTCACCAAAAACTTGAAAGAAAGATGATAATTTAAGGTGAAAGAATTTCATACCAGACCTCCATTGAAGGGGATATCAGTATAAGGCAGCCAAGTATCTCCCATAGTGAAGTTATAGACAGTAAAATTCATGGCCTGTGTAGCATTCATCAAGCTATAGCCAGGCCAATTCACCCTCATACTTGTGTTTGCTCCTGGCCCATGATTCTCAAACTCCCCATAATACAATGTCTCCAGCCCTGCTGTTCCATTCCACTCCAGCCATCCCACAGGGCTGATCAAATCCCCAATGTATGACTGCATGTACACTGTCCTTGAGTACTGCTTCCATGGCCGCCCGAGGTAGTTCGCTATCGTCGCGTTCGAGTCCATTGCCCAGTCGGGTGCAGCTCTGATCGTGCAGTTGTGGATTGAGATGCCTGTGCTTTGGTTCGGATCGGTTCGACCCTGCGCTGTGAAGGCATTCTTTTGGTTCGGTAGGGGCTTTCTGGCATAGAGGTTGCATTGCTGGAAAACCGCAGCGGCATTGCCGAATATGAAATCTACGGTGCCGTAGATGTCGCATTCTCTGTAGAATTGTCGGAAGGAATGCACATAGAGAGTGTCTTGATAGCCTTCAAAGCTGCAGCGGTAGAATGTTGAGAGATCTGCACTGTTCCTCACTGCCACTGCTTGGTGCTTCTCTGGCCCTGCTGTGTTCCTAAATGTCACGTCTATTGCAACAAATCCATCCCCACAAACAGCTGCATAAACATGCCAAATCCAAATACTCAGTATATTTCGAAACTAGGTTAAATTACAAGTTTAGTTTCGAAACTTCTAGATGGTTAAAGTTCGTAAACCTATTATTAGACACAAGTACTCTGAAAGTTTAAGCATCTATGTTACACAGTCTTGCAAGTTCACGGATCAAACTTGTAATTTAGATGGTTTGTCGGTTTACTTACTAAAGGTAGAAGAATTATAAGTCGTCCAACCATCGACGACGCTGTGGTTTCCAGTGATCACTGTTCGGTTAATGCCATCTCCGATGAGCATTATGTTGGTTTTGTATTTGGGGACGACGACGTACTCTTCATAGTATCCTTCTCTAACATATATAACAAAGTAACCATCTTCAGGCATAGAATTGTTGGGAGAAAATGCAATTGCATCACCAATTGATGTGAAGTTGTCAGCACCAGTTGAGCTAACAACCACAGTGTTGTTGATGAAAATTCCAGTGGTGCCTAAATCAGTTAACAAACGCTCCCTTCCTGAGCAGATTGTGGATTGGTTGCAGGACCCCATTTTTCGCAGTCCCTGATGCAACTGAACCCTTAAGAGAATTGACCTCTAAAATCAACTAAACTGTACAGATTTATACTCAAGAGAATAATAATGATATATGAAACACTGCATAATAAGTTTCAATTCTATTATGATACTTATAATTCCAGCTTTTGTCTAATTAGTTCAAAATGAAGATTTTGATCCCTGTATAATACAAAATCTACACAATAAAAATCGTTAAATAAAAAGATATGACAAATTTGGTACCGTGCCTAAATTATGATTGAAAGAATGGGATAATATATATATATATATATATATATATTGAATATATAAAGACCAAAATAGATCAAAATTGAAAGCATGGAGAAAAATAGACAAAAGTTAATAATACAAGGACCAAAATAATTTGATTTTTAACCTTATTTAGATTGAGTCGGTTTGATGTTTAAACATACCTCATTTAAAATAAATACATCAACAAATGCTATATAGTACCTCAAATTTCTAGAACTATTTTTTAAAAGTCAAGTTTTGAAATTTAAAAACCAAATAGAAACAAAACCTCGAAATCAGGACAAAGTGTAGTTCACCCAAATCAATAATAGGAATTGAATAATTAGAGTATGTATATTTAAAAATGTGAAGAGAATCCACATTTCAATTTGTAACATGCAACTGGCAGAATTTGGGAATCCCAGATGCCGTCCCCTCTAATCTGTCTCTCGTGATACCGAGAATCTTATCAAACATATTTAACTCAGCCCCCAAAAAATAATTTTTTAATAATAAACTAAAAAATATTTCTTAAAATTGGGATTTTGTAGTATTAAGGATAGGGTTGCAGATGCCCCTGCAGCCTACCTTCTTCCCATGTTTGTTTATTATGATATTCCAATTAAGAGAAATCAGAAATTAATTAATTACTGATTAAGTTAATTTGTACATGATTCTTGTAATTATATTCCACCACTATTATGATAATTCTCCTCCACATGTACATTAAATAATATGGTTGGAGGATATTTAACTGCATTAATATTTGCACAAATCTAACTGGTTTCTTTCCTAACTTTGCTTGTTAACTAATATAATTAAAAGAGATAAATAAATATGCAGTTTCGTGTAGACAGGGATAAAGCCTAAATGGTAAAGTGAAAAAATAAAATAAAATTATAAGTTTCAATCTCCCTTCATTTCTAGATTATACAAATTTTGATACTAATTCAGTAGAAAAATGATTGGAAATTTTTATAATCTAATTTTGTTACACTAAAAATTAAAACATTTGTGTGATTTATTTTAGTGTGTTATTAATCTTTTTTTTTTTCCTTTTACTTCTGTAAGTAATTAGTCAAATAGCTTCTTTGACCCCTTTCATGTCCTTTTGTCTGAGGAGTTCTTTTATTTCGAGGTCTGATTAGTCATTTTCACATAAAATAAGTCTTTATCATGTTATATTATAATGCAACTAATTAATGAAGGCTAAATTACCCAAAAAAAAAAAAATCCTGAATTTTACCATTTGTTAAAAATTGCTCTATCATTTTATAACTTAGCTGTAAATAATGAGAAATTGGTTTTGGGTGGTTTTCATAATCAATGTAAAATAAATCAGCAATCAATTAAATGCCCATTAATAAATTTATGCAAAAAGTTAACAGCACATAATTATATTCTCACTTCCTAAGTCCTATGAATATGATATCTACCCTCCATTTGATTTAAGATGGTTGGAGGATATTTAATTCCATTAATATTTGAACGTTTCAACTGTTTTTTCCCTGACTAATTTCCCATCATGACAACCATTAATTAAGGCCATGTTGGCTTCAAGGAAGAGGAAGTTTTACCCATCTTTTTTTAAATGTGTGGATGTATCTTTTTTTTTCTTCAATTTTTTAAGATAAAATTGGAATAATAAAGTTTCAATAAAACTTAAATTCGTTTAGTCTATATTTAATCATGTTATTATGAAAATTTGTATCCTTTCTTTGATTCATGGGTTTATAATCAGTAAGAGTTGATGTGTATTATAAATTATGCTAAAAAATTTATATTATAAAAGATGAATGTCATAAAATTATATTTGTATAATATATAGGATTAACCAACTCGTAGATACATATAAATAAAAAAAACAAACAAACAAATACCCGTGAATATAAGCAATTTCTTAATAAGCTTACATACTACTCTTAACTTTAGGTTATAGGAACATAACTCAAATAACTCTTAAAATGAAAGCAATTAAAGTGTTGTGACAATAATTTTATTTTTAAGATTTGAGTTAATTCAAAATAAAAGTAATTTGTTAGGAATAAAATTTCAATTTTCTGTCAATAATTTGTAGCCATTTCGGGGAAAAAAAGGTCTTTATCAAATGTCAAACTCCTCATTCTGCATAAGAATACCATTTTTATGCAACTTACTTGTAAATGATGTGACATTTCTACTTCATGGTCATTAGTGAAAATATCGATTTTAAAAATAGGAAAATATTTGTCTCACTTGAAAACTAAATATTTGACGACTCATTATTATTTAAAAAGAATATAGATTTTTTCATTTTTTAAAAAATATTAATAATTGTTTATTGTTAAATATTATATTTTTTTTTGTTCGTTTTTATTAAGAAAAGAAGTCTAAACCAATGGCTGCATCCAAACAAAAACTTTTTCCCCTAATTTTTATTTATTTATTTATAATGCATTGAATAAAGCAAATGCGATGGTTCTTGTAACCGAACGAACAGACAAACAGAAACAGCAGCAGCACATTCAATCGTACGCGTACCTTGATCAGCGTGATCAGTGGCTCTCTGTTCCCTCCGCCGCCCGGAAAACTCTGCCGCCGCTTCTTCCACCGCCGCGACAGCGAGTTCTTAACCAATCCCAACGACACGCTGTACAGTTCCCCGGCAGTCGACAGCGGCGCCGATAGCGCACTCCCCAAACTGCTCTTCGATTCCACCAATCCGTCGATACACGTCTGGCCGTTCGTCACGATCGCGCTCAAAATACTCTCGACGCGCTCCACCACTTGCTCATCCACGCCCTCCGCCGCCTCCAATACGCTCTCAATCGACCGCAGAAACTCCACATTCAAATCGGCGAGCTCTCTGCAGTCGTCGAGCGCGCCGGCCTCCCGCTGATTCAGCCTCGAACCGCCTCCACGGCGAAGGTAGCCGCCGATTACGCTCGACATTTTGATCGCCTGCTTCAGACACTGTTTGACGGAGAATTTTCCGTAGCCGTAGGGATCGGAGGGCGAGAATCGGATGGAGGAGAGAATCGAATGGCAGAGCTTAGGGTAGAGAGTGGTTTTACAGAGCGCGGCGGAAGGCGGAGGAGAATCGGAAGCTCCGGCGAGGCGGAGGGAGAGAAGGAGAAGAAAAATGTAGGGAAGTGAGTTCATAACGTGATTTTCAACTCGGGAGTGACTCGGTGAGTGAAGAAGGAGAGAGGACTTATATAGAGGCGGGAGAAGAAGGAAGGAGTGGAAAAATAAAGTGTGTGTCAGAAGAAAATGGAAATTGAAGATTTTTTTTTCTTTTTTTAATTTAAATATGATTTTCTTTATCTGTTTTTAGAAAAGTATTTAGAAAAATGTTTAAATTGTTTAAGTAAGGAACAAAACTTACCATGAATTATTCACTCCCTCACCGACGCTACCCTCCAAGCTACTTATTATTTACATTTATTTTTTTAATAAAATAATTTTTTTTCCATTTTATTTGTTTATTATTGATTCAGATTTTCCGTGATAAATACAAGGAAAAAAATGCTAATAGTAGTCTATTTATTTTCTTCGCTTTTATTTTTTTAATTTAACAAAATAGGCATCATTTTTTAGGTCAGTGCTTAAATCTACCATTTCCATATTTTTTAAGCTCAAACAATAAAGTGGGTTGCATGGTAGACCGAGACTAGATAGAGTGAGTTTATATTGACAATACTTAACGTTTATCGATCAACACCTATCTTCTGATTACCATTGAGAAATTGACATGTTAAAAACTGGGAACGAGTAATAGAAAGCGAAAACGAAGCCTCAAGGGTTTGAAATTTGAAAATAGTTTCAATATTTTTAGAACGATGACAAGTTAATTAACTTCTACGACTTCAAAGAAAAGAGTAGGTGTCAATTACTACATAATTGATAAATTCACTTCTTGATTGATCTCTATTAAGCGTGTCTGTGTGTTTTGATTTGAATTTATTCTAATAGTCCATTTTTTTTATCTCAAATTTTCATAATTTATATATATTTTTTAAATTTGTTTAACAGTCCCTTTTTATATCAAACCTTGCATATAATTTTATTTATAATTTGAAAAAAATGGTTTGAATATTATTTTTTTCCGGTTTTTGTTTATTTTTATCCATATACTTTTAAAACATCCATTTTTTTATTTTTGTCAATGTACTCTTAATTTTTGCTTATTTTAGTTCATATATTTTGAAACGTCTATTTTGGTATATGTATTTTTAAAAAGTGACAATTTTGATTCTTTTATTTTCAATTCTATTTCATTCCGTTCGATCATAGTTTTAACATAACATTTCATTCCCTAAATTTCTTGAAATGCAACCATAAATTTATATTAATAATAATTATTATATATAAAATTTTCATTAAAATTTTGTAAAGATCAAATTAGTCACATTTTTAAAAGGGACTAAAAAAGATGTTTTGAAAGTACAATGATTAAAATAAGTAAATTTTGAAATTAATACATAAACCAAAATGAACTTCATAAAGTACAATAATTAAAATGAAAAAAATAAAATTGAATTGAGACCAAAATAGTATTTAAGCCTAAAAGAAATTAAGTAGATGTATTATTTATTCTATTATTACATTAATGAAAATAAGTGTCTGACTTTCATAAATAAATCGAGGTTAAAGCCCAAAATATTTATTTTTTTTGTTCAGTCAACAATTTAATTAAAAAATTAGCAACAAAATAGTTTTTGTCTAAAAAAAGTTCATTAAAAATAAAAGGTAATATAATATGTCTTTTTTTATATATAAATAAAATGGAATTCTGCATATATGGCTTTAATTTTTATTCATGTTTTTATAGAAACCTAGTTTTATTGGACTAATAAATAATATTTGTAGCTCAGCCGATGGAAGAAATAAACTCATAAATTAAATGAATGGCTCCAAAGGCCTTTTATTATTTAGTACGTTTGAGTTCAATTATAGAGACAATAATGTAAAACTAAATAATGGTTAAACTAAAAAAAAATTAATTTAATTAAATTAAAAAAAAAAAGCTGACTTGTAGGCTATTGCTCTTGGACCTCCCTATAATCTATTTTTCTATTTTTATTTATAATATTGTATGAATGTCTCTAGTTAATATAGTGTCCTTCTTATTCAAATTAAATCTTTAGTTCAATTACTTATTTTATAAGATATTTGCATTTAAAAAAACAAGTTTGTTTCTTTACAAAATATTTCCTCTGCTTTCTTGTTATTAAAAATACTTTTGAAATCTCAATCAATTTTTTTAAAATGAAAAATATGTATTTGAGAAGTTAGATATTGTTTTGGATAAGATTTTTTAAAACCCACGTTACAAAGTGTGAAATAATAATAATAAAAAAGCTTATTAAAGTTAAAAACAAAGTTAAGAGTATGATTTTTAATTCTTCTTTGACTCTTGATATATTTTTGTTTTGTTTAAAACCTTTCTGTTATTGTCTATTTCGATCAATGTATTTTTAAAATATTAATTTTGGTCTATATATTTTTAAAATATTTATATTAATCTCTTAATTTAAATGGGAATGTTCTGATATTTATTTGCAAAATCTTGTCATAAATTTTATACATAAAGAATATTATTCGATGTAGATTCAACGACGCAAGGTACCCCTACTTTTTCAAGTTAAGAATAGGTAGAGAAAATACCTCGAGCCAATGTTAAGTACCAGACGCTACAACGCTGAAGTAACCTATGTCATACTCCTAAGAAAAGGTTCGAATGACCTTCAACAAAAGGGTACCAGTACCCGTACCCGAAACTGACACAAGTGTATTGTTAGAGAATACCTAGGGACGCGAGACAACTCTCTTTAAGGAACTTAGCAAAATAGTTCCATAATTTCGAGAAAAGGGGTGTCTCCTCACAAAGGGGTCGCATTGACGAAGTTCGGGCGATTTTTTACCAATAACAATATTTCAATAATTTTCTTTAGTGGTGTTAAAATTGTGACAACTAATAATAAAAAAGAAAGCAAACAACTCTAATATATATATTTAAAGTACAATAGGAAAAATAAATAAAAGTTGAAATTAAAGGACCAATAGGGTTTAAATCTTTTGAACCAAAAAAAAAAAAAAACTATATTTCTAATGAAAAGTCAATCTTTTGTTGAAATAGTTTAAGAAGGGCGGAATAGAAAAATATATTTTAAAGATTTGGGGTAAAAAAGGCAAAACCTCTGGATATCAGTTTTTCAGAGCCCATTCAGCCCATTCTTCGGCCCAAATTCACCCAAAAGCAAATGTTAAATAATAAGGGCCCATTTTAATTACTTTTTCCTTTAAACCTTTAATAAATATTTTTAAAAATAAAAGTTGAACAAGAAAGAGTAATTTTTAAAAATATTTATTCTTCATATTCTCAATTTTTTTTTCTTTCACATATTTATTTCTAACAATTTTTTTTTCATTTCGTTGAAAAAAAATTATTTTTCATTCTAAAATTGTTTCCTACGTAAGATAGGAAACAATTTTAGAATATTTATTATTATTTCTCTCTCTCCAAAATTTTATCTATATATATTTTTATTTCTTTATCTTTTTCTAATATATCCCTCTTAATTTTTTCTCTCCAAAAATTTAATATTTTATCAATATTTTTCTTCTCAATTTTCGCATTTTATAACTTCTCTTCCACATTCTAATTTATTTTTTCTCTAACAAATATATCTCCATCACTTATGGATGATTAGCTAAGTTTTTAAAAAATACAGCAAGGCAAAATGTGTTTTCTCACTCTTTCATCACTTAATTGTTTTTACAAAGTTAAGAATTTAATTTGGCCAATTAATGATTTAAAAAACCTTAATGTCATAAGGGTTAGTTATTTTTACAACTTATTTGATTTAACTTTGTAAAGTAAGGTTTAGATATAAAGGTTTCGTTCGGGTAGCCTAGACATAAAACCTCGATCGAAGGTTACGGTTGGTTTTTATTAAGCTAAATTCCCTTTTTCTAATTGACATATTAGGAACCGATTTTTAAGCAGAGGAGGCACCCGCGCCTAGTTAGTCTAATTTCATATTTTCTTAGCTAATTTAAAGTAATTTGACTTAGTTTTATTTCACTCCATTTTAAAATACCAAAACCAACATCGATAATACTATTTGTTACCTTAAAACCAATGGCAAACTTGTCGATTATCATTATTTTTTCAAAAATATTACGTTAGTCGTCCTAGAAGATTGATACTGAATACTTATTCCATTTTTTTTTACTTGTGAGGTGTACACTTGAGCTCTATTATTTTATTTTTAATTCAAAATTCCCAAACAATAGCCTTTCTTATACATTAAAAGTTTGAATCTCAATTATACTGTTTTACCACTTTAAAAAAACACACCCAAGATATTCCTTATAAATGTTCATATAATTACCAAAGTAGTAATGAGTGACATTATCATACTAGATTCACCTAAAGTAAGATGACTTGACCATGTCACACACCCGCCAAAATCCAAATCAATCAAGGAAATCAACTCGGCCCAACTCGAGAAGATCACCCCCTCTATAAATAAGATGAGGCCTAGAGCGTGAGGTGCATTTTTTATACAACTCTACTTTTTTCTACTCTCAATCAAACTCTACTTTTTGTTACTCTTAACCGAACTAATTATCTAATTTAGACATCAAAGTATGTCAGACTACCGCAATACAAAGTATTATACATAGATATATATAGTCAAAGGAGGACAAATTTGATAGATATGTTTTTTTTTTCATATATATATGTATAGTGTCACATGGTCTAGAAAGAACGAGGGAGGGGAACAAGTTAGATATGTTTTTTAGGTACGTTAGTTGGCTTTTTCCTTGAACCAAAAACCATTGAGAAAATAAAAAGGTTATTTCTGGATAATTTAAAAACAAATTTAAAACCCAAAAAAAGAAAGAAAAAAGAAAACACCTCAGCTAATTCTCTCTCTTTTTCCTTAAACCAAACTGAAAACCAAAGACTAAACCACAGACCCAGAAACCATGATCATATTCTTCTGGAATTGATCTTTTTTCTCATCCACTCTTCACCAAACTTCATCTCCTAAAGCCACCCTTTTTTCAAACCCTAAATTCACACGAAACCGAGGTGGTTATCGACGACGAAGATGGCGAAGTAGTCGAGAACAACCCCCTCTCCTCATGATCACTCTTCATCATCTCCATTTTCCCCACATCTTCTAACTTCTCACCCCCCTCCCCGCACCTCTCGTCTTCCAAGCTCGCCTCGAATATCAACCCGATGTCGTCCTCGAACCCGATCTCATCAAAGAACAGGTCAGGCAATTCGCCAGACTTCTCGAGGGGGAGGTCGGGGACCTGCACGAACCCCGTGTCTAGGAATGACCAATGCAGATCATGATCCTCCTCCATTGTCGTCGGGCTGTTCTCCATCGACGGGAACTGGAGGGGCGAGCCTGAGAACGCCATCGTCGTCTGTTGCTGTTGCTGCTGTACTACTTCGCCTTCCTCAGAAGAGGAAGCAGGGGAGCAGTTGGGCTGTAGGGGCTGCTCTGCTGCTGGAAAAACTGATGATTTATTCTCCAGCCGCCCAATGTAATTGCTGATGTCGAAATTGGTCACTGCATTGACCCCTCTGTACTCAATTGCAGCCATGTCATATGCTGCTGCTGCTTCCTCTTGTGTGTCTAACAAATATAATAACAAATATACCAAAAACTTAATTCAAAATTATAATTAATTAAACAACCCCATTAATTAATAACATGATTTTCACTGATCACGTGATTTGGTTATGCTGGTTTTGAATCTAAATCAGTTAATTTAATTGCAGTCATATCAGAAAAAAACAGATCTACATATATTAATTATTATCTTCATTTCTCGGTAAAGAACAGTGAAATTTGGTATTTTATTTTATTTTTTTTAAATGTCAAACATGGAAAGCAGGAATGCAGAACATCTGGTCCTACTGTCTGTAAGACCATAGGAATTTCCCGTGATTTTTGGTTTGACTAAAATGAATTTAAAAAGAAAATATATATATATATATATATATATATATATATATATATTCTACTGTGAAGATAAATATGATTTTGACCCAGAAAAATGAATAAATTGAAAAAATATATATGAATTTGAATTAAATTTAAAAGAAATTTGGCGTCCCGGAAAATGAAAATACAGGTGGACTCCCGACAGAAGCTAGTGAAGTGGCACGTGAGGCCACATAGTTCACTTTTGGAAAGCTGTGAATCGAAAAGTTTCTGTTTTATTTATTAATTTATTTTATAACTGCAGCAGACGAAGGATCACGTGCCGTACCCCTATCCCTAAATTATTTACCCTCGTGGACCACTCCTCACTCTGCCTTGTACTTGTAAAACTACAGGTTCAAATTTCAAAACTTGCAATAAATTTCTTTCCAATAATCAAATTCATAACACAAATAGTATTACAAATAAAAATAATGCACTATTATTACAAGATTTAGGCCTTTGAATTTTTTAGTTTATAAAAATTACGCTTGAGTTTTCACTTTTTTTAATATATTTAAATCCTCAATCAAATTTTAAAAAACATAAACAATTTTTTTTAAAAGTAAATAAAATAAGAACTCATAGAGGCGAGGTATTTCTAAGCTTGATTTTCAAAATCAGAAACCAAAAAATAAAATGGTTACGAGATACGTTAAAATATTAAAGATATTACTTTAAATTTTAAAAAAAAATATATTTAATTAATGATTTTGAAATACTTATTAAAATAATAACTCACCCAATAAAATTCAGGGAGGGTAAACCTACCCAAGTACCTCATTTTTCTATGATGTGGTAGTTAACCAATTATAAACCACCTTGACAATTTTAAAGATTTGTTAATATGCTATTATTAAGAGCAATTATATTTTTCATAAAATGGAAAAAAACAAAAAAGAGAATTAAAAGACAACATTAATTGTCTGTAAGTAAGAAAAGGTAGTGCCACGTTAGCTGACAGAGCGATCCACGTAGTTAAAAGTTGGCGTTGCTGCCATTAAAAATTCCACGTGGGAATGCCACGTGGAGTCAAGAGTAGATAGAGAGAGAGAGAACGTACTGTAAGTTCCCAGGTAAAGATATTTGCTTCCGAAAACACGGCCGATCCGCGCCTCCCACCGGCCGTTGTGGTGGTGGCGGGCCACGCCGCGGTACTTCGATACGCCTCTCGAAAATCCGCTGCTCCGCCGCCGTAACGACGCCAAATACTCCTCCTTCGTAACTTTCCGCATTTCTTCTATTTCATTCCTGTACGACTCTACCTGATTCCCATTTAAAATTACAACAAATGTTAAATTACAAATTTACCCTTCCTACTTTCAGAACTATATTTAATCCATCTCTTAATTCCTATATCTAATTCCGTAAAATTTCTGGCCATATTTCGACCGAGGAGTTATTTTTTCCCGGAAAAAGAAACGAAATTGTTTATAAAGAAAACGTTTGTAATTTCTCGAGGAAATAAGTGCCGAAATAGTCAATTTAGCGGCTAGCGTATAGGAATTAGGGAAGAACTTTATTGAACATTTAATGAAATAATTTGAGAAGAAAAAAAAAGTATTTTTAAACATAACGTAAATGTGAAATGTCGTTTCCACCCTTAAAACGTAAAAGTACCGGGAAATTGAGGGTGGTTCCGGGACCCCAGTACTTGAGGGCAGCGAGGTCATAAGTTCGGGCGGCAGCTTCCTCGTTATCGTATGCTCCTGCCATATACGATACCAATATATTAATTGCCAAAATTTGACCGGAAGCCCCTCCTCTCGCCACGTGTCCCAAAATATTATTTTAAAAAATAGAGGAAAAAAAAATTAGATTACAGAAGAGCTTACCCAAATAAACTGAGCAGCAGCGACAAAAGTGCAAATGAGCGTTGGCCGTGACACAGTCAGCAAACAAAATCAGGGCTCCAATTTATATATAATTTAAAAAAATACAAAATTAACCGAATAAAAAAAGAATATTTGAGATCTCTTCTTCGATTAATTAATTAATTAACTTTTCGTAACAGAGCAGGGCTTTTTTTTTTCTTCCTCACCTTGCCTTCCTTTTTTGTTCTGAATGCTATTCCACGAACTCTTGTCCCAGAGATGCGCTTCGAACCGGCCGGTCCATCGGTGCCTGACGACGGTTGATCCGATTCCGAATTAATTTCAGAATTCAGAGTCTCAATTATTCAACATGCAACTCAAAAAAAGAAACGGAAAATCGAAATCGAAATCGAAAAAAAAAACCTAGTGACTCCTCTGTAAATGGAGCTCCGGCGGCCGGAAGAGGCATTGTTGTTGCTGCTGTTGTTGTTATTACCGTTACGATTCTCAATCTCGCATTTGGCGTCGTCCTGATTCCGCTTCCGGCGTTTCGCTCCGGTCTTCTCCGATTGCGGCCGGCGCGGAGGGGCGGCGAGATTGAGATTATTGCTGTCGAAGCCGCCGCCGCCGACGCAGGAGGAGGAGGAGGAGGAGGAAGTAGAAACAGAGGGAGACCTTCTCATGGCGGCCGCCGGCGGAGGAGGAGGAATTGAGAATCGGCAAATTAGAAGGCGGAGACGAGGATTAGAGGTGGTGCAATGGCGGAATAAAATGGCGTCGGAGTTGGATTGGATTGTACAGTGGGAGACATTTTTAGAAGGCTTTGGTAACCTAAAGTGGTTTACCAACAAGGAGAGAGAAAGGGGGGTTTAAAGAGAGAGGAGAGAGGAGGAAGGTAACCAGGGTTAGTGGGAAGAGGGTTAGTTAATCCAAGGTGAGTTATGAAATTTGCCCAACACTTGGCTGTAGGTGCAGCCATGCTACCAATAAGATTCCTGCTCTTTGCTGCCTTTCCAATTTTGATTTGGTTAAAAGAAAAATGAAATGGTTATAAAATAATTGTGGAGGATCTTGTTTCATAAATTGGTTTGTATTTAATTTCAAAATCTAACTTGTTTGTTAATTATTTGGGAAACAAGTTATTTTTACTCCTACATTGGTTTGTTTGTATCAATTTTTACTATAAATTTTTTTAAACTTTTTGTTGGGACGATGATATGTCAATTATCTCTAAATTAGGTTCTCTTTTTGCTATAAATTTTTAATTTAATTAAACTAAATACTAAATTTAGATAAAAGTAGTAGTTTTTACCATATATTAAATTTTCACTAATTTAATTAAAAAAAGCTAAAGCCTCATTAATTTAATAAAAATCATGGTTTCAACAAAATTATAGTTATATAACTCTCTCAAAACTTACAAATTAATTATTATTTTTATTTAAATATTTTCAATTTCATATTAATGGTATATTTTATAATTAAGTCATTTGACACGCATGAGAATACATTTTTCAATAATTTTAGGATAAAAATAGCAACATTTTTTAAAATTTAATGTGAAAATTATAACACTTATCTAAGTTTAAGATGCAATTTGATGAAACTGGTATACATTACCAAGTTCATGCTAAAACTTTTATTTCTTCAATAACTTTCCTTGCATGACATTTTTACATTAGTTTAACTACTTTTCAAATAACAATTGTTTTTTTTTTCCAAATTTTGTTACGATTCTAGAAATATTTTTAAAAGTAATTAAACGATATTGTCAATCTAAGTGGGTAATGCACTAATTACCTTTAATCTCCTCGGCTCCCACATCTTTTATACTAAAAAAATAAATAAATAAAATAAATAAACATCATATAAATGTTGAAAATCTTTTTTTTTTCTCTAAATATATTGTAGATCATGTGGCAAAATTTGAAAATAAATAGGCGCTTGAGAATCTCGACTAACATTTAGTATTGTGTCGTGTGCTTGCACAAATGGCTTTAATGGTTTGATGTGGATGCTAGTGGACGGCGTGGACGGAAAATGTATTTGCATGTCAACCCAAGAAGAATTTTGTCTAATTAAAAAAACATGTGGTACCTCTGTAAGAGTTTGGAGTCTCTCAATCACTATTTTTATCAAAATTTTTCGATAAAGAACGATGCGTCCCCAAGATCACTTGAAGAAAGAATCCCGCATAAAGGAGTTAGCACTTCGAAGTCTTTGTCAGTATAGGATAAACAATAATTTAGTATCACTTAAAATCACCAGGTACGCATACCTCGCCTTTAACTTATGGGTATTTATAATGTTAGTTGATAACCGGTTGGTGTAAAGAATTTAAATTTATAGTTGTTTCTGAGATTTTGGACGAGTTGTACGCGTAGGGGAGAATGCAGTTCTGCAGTATTTATTTGAACGTTGGGACTCGAGTTCGGACATAAATTACCCAGTTCGACAGTTATTGAATTGGTTCGCGCAGTTTGTAAGATTTTCGTACACACAGTTTTTGGTTGAACGGTTGATCACGTGTATTTAAGATGAATTTTCACCCTAATCAATCACAATGGTTTAGAAATTTCAAATTTGAGCATTCGAATAAGTTTAATACAAAAAAAAAAAATCTTGATGTCTCTCGAATTCGAACCTCATACCGGACATGAAAGCTTCGACCCTACTTATAAATTTAAAAAAATAGTAAAAAAATAAAATAAAATTTTTTTAATGGAATATGAGTTAAAAAGAGTTTGTAACCGAGTGGCATATAGGCGGTGGGGTCTGACCATGACGAGCATGTGTCACATTATGGATTTCGAAATGAAACAATTGGTGATAGACAACGACATGTCGTCATTATCCAAGACAAAACATTTTAATCTAGCCATGATTTAAGATCTAACAACATTACATCTATAACAAATTGGTTTTACTCTTAATACTCTATGGGTAAGATTTAAATACATTATTTCTAAGTAAGTTCATGAAAAATATTTCCATTACTCGTTGCATCAATATCATTTAAGAATAATGTGAGATCGTGTATTTGACCGTTTCAATTTCATTTATGGTTGGTAGGTTTGAATTTATTCGCTTGGCTTATAAAAAAATTTAGCGTTTTTTTAATTAATAATTATTAACTTTCTAAAATGAGTAAGGGTGTTAAATTATAAAATCTTTGGAAGTCAACCGTAGAATAGTTGAATTAAATGCAAATTATGTTTGGTTAAGCATGTGAATTAAATGCTAGTGCTTTTTTTTCTTTAATTTAACGTTATCATAGATTAAAAAAAAACGTTATTGTCGTTTATAAAAATTCATGGTCATCGAAATTTAGTATTGCAGTTCGCAAGAATGTGCTAAATAATATTAAGTAATTTATAAACATACCTTTAAATTTATTCATTTAAATAAATAAATAAACATATATTTATTTATATTAATTTTTTGATGATAAAATGATTCATTTAGATTTTTTTTTTTAATGATGAATTGATTCGTTCGTTCAAATAAAAATAACTGAGATTGATATTTTAAATAATTGGTGACTAATAATCAAAGCTTATTAGTAGACAATAGTCAATCAGTTTGATTAATTAAAATTTGATATTAAACAATTAACTAACAATTAAAGTTAACATTATTAATTGAGAAGACTAACATTTCTTAAGTTCATTCAATAGGTGACTTAGGAGAATTTTAGACATATTAGACTTCATCCTTAAATGGTCACTAGTGAATAATTAATGCTGAAATATCAGTTAAAAGCAATAATAAATAAATTGTACTATAAAGCAATAATAAATAATTAAGACTAACGAGCATTAACATGGGTTTGAATTGAACTTTTCGAGAAAAAAAAAAAACAAAACAATGGTGTGTATTAGTTGTTATTAATCAATCTATATGTTCATATATTTTATTCTAATATGATGAAAGATCTTCAAATCCCCACACTAGAATCCAGATACTTAAAAGATTTGTTTGGTACCGTTAGTTATTTTTTGTTTTCAAGTTTAATAAAAGATTGAAGCTTTTATTGCACAAAATTGTTAAAAAAAAATTGAAAACAACAAATTTCTTTATTTTCAATTGGTTCCAAAACATAAATAAAAATATTATTTTATCATTATTACATCGATAGGTGTTGAAACCATGCAATTCTATTTTTCTTAACTAAAAATGAAAAATAGAAACAAAAAACGAAAATGTTATTGAACATACTCTAAAATTATGCTAGAATCAAAATATTAATTGTCAATCTGAATATAACTCAAGTGGATAATACTATCTTAAATATAAATGATTCAATTTCCTACCTCCACAATTGTTGAACTATATATATATATGTTTATTGAAAATAAAAGATAATAGAAAAACTATTACGACTTATTGGGGTAGCAAATTGAAACGTAAACTACACAAGAGGCTATCCTCCTATTACTATTCTAAGATTAAGATTAGCTTAATTGAGACATGTTTTACTTTATTTATAAGCTCAATGTTGAAATCTTCACTCTCATATTTATAATATTATATAATTAAAAAATATATATTAAGCTCTTTATATGTATAATACATTGGAAGAGAAAAGTTTGGTTTGGCTTTTAAATTTGGAACCCACTTAATATTTTTCCTCTTTATTTAGTCAAAATAGGATGATTTGAAAACAATCAACATTTTATACACTATGCATGCTCAAATTAACAAATTAATTTTTAGTTGTACCACAAACAAATCTTAAAAATATCCAACTGTTCGGTTCAGTCCTACCCGAAAAATACAAAGCGATCGATTCCATGGGTCGAGCTGGGGGTGAGGGTGATATGAACACTGTTATCCAGAAAAATAAACTAAGGCAAGTGATTTAAATTATGGAGGCAGCTGGAATTAAGATAATTTTACTCATATGATATGACTTGATGATGCAGGAAATATGCAAAAATAATCTAACCAAGACTGAGTGAAATTAAATTTTTTAAAAAAAAGGAAAAAAATTCAGATTTTTGCTACTGCTATTCATCAGAAATTTCATCACCATACGTACCATTACTATTATCCTGATGAACCATGGACTTAGTTTTAAATTTTGACAATCTACTTGGAGGTTTAGAGGGTTTCTTCACCTTCTCTGCCTGCAACTCCAGTCCTTTCTCTGATGGTTTTCGTTTTCGTTTCATTCGTGTTCCTCCTGCATCATCCACGTTGTCCAAAACTGCAAAAGAAACCAACCACTTGTTGAATAATAATGAAGCAGTATTTTAAGCAAACCGAGCAGAGATACAGAAAACATTGTGGAATTGAACTGTTAGTTCAAATTAGTCGGTAGGCGTGCGTTCTTCGCAAGCTTGCAGAGAAGAATTCTTTCAATTGGGTTACAACAGAAATTAAGCTATGGCTGCAGGATGGATCGTGAAGTTCGCACCACGAGACAGCAACAAAGGATGAATACTCTGAAGCTTTCAAAAAGATTTTCATCTTATTCAAAGTTAAGCTATATTACTTTTGGCAGGAAGATTCAAACACAATATTCATAATGAAAAAGAAGAATTTGCTCATATGTTCCCGTTTCTTTGGAAAAATTATTCGAGGCTAGAAGAATGTGGCTGATCATTCTACATCATTGGATGAGTGACGGAGAATTAGAAAACCATATTCAAACCTACATCAGACGGTTATTAGGAGTTCATAGATTTTGAACATGTATCTCAACCATTTTTGGGGAGGCCAGATCAAACAATTTTTCCCTTCTCTCTGGATCTCTAATAAAACTAATCCCAGTCCCCGTCTTGCACTCTGCTACGAAACTCTCTTAATATACCCATGTCACAACATCTATGTTCACTTCTAGAATCCGATACACCATTTTCGTTGATTAACACAAACAATACAATATCTTTCATACAATAGGCATTCAATGTCGCTCTGATATGTTTCGCACGTGTGCATTTGCTCGAGTAACTGAACTAAGTGATAGGTTCATCACTAAGCAATTAACCTAAAGAAACTGAGCCAAGGGTTCTTTTTGTAGGGTAGCAAAGCAAACAATATATGTAAATGGAATGGACCCAACCAACATCAACAAGAAAACACAAAAGCAAGTGAAATGTTACCTTCCATTGGACTTGATGCATGATTGGTTGTACGGCCATTTGCACCAGCCTCCTCTGAAAGTGGGGATCCAGAATTGTTATTATCGATCATTTTGGACGAAATTTCTACACACTTATCCTGCTGCTCGAGAACGTCGGGACACGGGATTGCTGGCAAGAAGCATAGTTCATCCTGTGACATATCTGAATCACTGAAAGCTGAATCCTTCTCCACATTTACAATATCAACTTCTTCATCTTCATTAATTTCAGGTTCTTTGACCTGAAACCACAGATATGTCATATAACTAGGCAAGGAAACAAAATCTCAGAGGGAAATTAACAATTATATTCTCACCTTTTCAGTTTCAGGAATCAGATCAAATTCATCTTCTCTTTCTACGTATTCTTCGTTTTCCTCAAGCTCTTTGAAATCAGGAGCAAAAGCACTCCAATTCTCGGTATAGTCTTTGGCCCAAATATAAATCAAGCCAGTAAGTGAAACAGAGACGACAATGGGATGAACAGGATGCCAGCCTAAATCAATCAATGCTTCCTTGGGACCTTCGAGGATTTTTACAAGATAACCCGCCCTATCCCAAACGTAAATCTTGTGTTCGCCTTTGCTCGCAGAACCACCAACAACCCACTCACCATCACCACTAAAACAAGGTGCTTTCCAGTGCATTCTAGTGATTGAATCTTGAAACTCCCTGAAAAGAGTTAAACACTTAGTTCCAACAGCCTTCAGCTTCTCAGCACCATCGAGCCTATCGAGTTCTTTCATGATTTCATCCATGACTTTCAGTCCATCTTTGTTGGGGAGGAGATTTTCGTATATTCTAATTGTTCTGTCATTAGAATTAGTGAGCAGATATTGACCATTTCTACTAAATACTATGTTCTTGACAACAGCACCTCCAGATATCGGAACCATGGCCCGTACCTGAATTCTTTCATAGTCTATTATAAGTATTTCACCTTTCGAATTCCCTACATAAACTAGATCACCATACTTGTTAAAGCAAGCCGCAGTAGGAGTGAAAGGTGGAGTTCCATCTGATACTTTGCCGCGGGAAGACGCCATATCTGCATCAGATATACAAACTGGAAGCAGACTCGTGCTTCCTGTCTTTAAGTCGACAATCATAGGAGCAGATGAAAGTGGGCATGCCAAGCAGAGAGATGGACTAGAGGATCCCGGATGCAGACGAGCTTGTAAAGGGGTCTGCTGCAGAGTTATGCGGTTTATTTTCTCCCCCTTGAGAACATCCCACAGTGTTAAGGACCTATCAGCAGCAGATACAAGAATTTGGTGGCCATATTTCGACCAACAGACACTAGTTATGGCAGACACACAATCTTTGTCTTTAAGCTCCTTAGCAATGCCTCTGGTCTCGAAATCCCAGATAACACAGTTTCCATCAGAGCATCCAGCTGCCAACAGGATTGTCAAAGCATCAATATTTACCATATATGAACAATGGCTTCCAGGAAGCAAGAAAACTATGTAATCAGTACCAGTGTGGGATAAAACTCAAAGTGAAGCCACATATGTTTATTTGAGCTTAATCAAGAAACAACACAAATTAGAATGTTGTTTTTTTATGAGATGGGAAAAAGAAGAAACTTGCAAATGCGTTGAAATTAAAACAGTTTCCAGTCAAATGAGAACGGAAATAAAAAAACTCAGGGATCTAAAAGGTCACAACCATGATATTTATATGTATATCCCCTACAAATCAAGCATATTTAACCTTATCGTTGTAATTTTCGCTCAACCTCGCTTATTTTTGTACGACCCTTGTTTTTGTTCTCTCATTTATCTTAATGATCTTAATGAAAGGAGATTACGTGTAAAAATTAAAGAATGGATTCCTTTATAGGTTGCTTCGATTCAAGGTATCAGACCACACCACACACTAACTCGTTCTTGTTTGTGAGCTAAAAAAAATATTTTTTTTTTCAGAAAAGAAAATAAGAGCTCATTCCATGATATGAAACCATTGGGAACAACTTCTTAGGTTATTAACAAGTAAATCATGAATTGTATGCTTAGTTTTATATAATCATCGATCACTGAGAAAACCCAAAAAGAAAACAGCAAAATTCTTTTTTCAAAACGCCTCTAAATGTAAAAACTAGGATGTAAGAGCCAAACAATGACACATAGAAAGCAAACTTGGACCAAAAATAGCAAAGTCCGCCATGGATACCTGCTAGAAGAGTACCACGACGGTTAAAGGCGATGCATTTCATCACTCCATGTTCCAGAAACTCTTCTATAACCTCCGGAAAATCTCCCTGCAGAGGGTCTTCGGAAAAGAAAAGAAGATAAGAACAGAAACATTCTCCAATGGGGAATTTTAGAATGAAACAGAAAGAGAGGGGAGGATACTAGGGCGAAAAGGGGGGAGATTCAGGAAAAGAAGAAGACGAATAAGAAGCAGAAACTCACCGATTATTGGCGCATTCATGGGCGTTTGCAGGTGAAGGAGCAAGAACTCGAATCGCTTGTGCTGAAGTAAACTGAGGTTGGGTTCGAGAGGGCAAGGCGGGAACAGGCGTCGTTCGCAAGATTTTTCCTTCTCTCGAGGAATTGGAGTTCTATCTAAGACAATTATTCCTAAATCTATTGGGTTTTGTCACCTTCATGGATGATTAACAGGCATTCATAGGTTGAATTGAGCGGATTTTGGTTCAAGATTAACCAAAAGCTCAAGTCGACAATATAACAACTTTATCGCCTTCAACATTATAATTTCTTTTTTTTTTTTTCCAAATTGCAAAAACTACCTTAAAGTATAATGATTGTTGCAATGGTACCCTTAAACTTACAATTTGCAAAAATTAAACCCTTAAACTTTAACTAATAGGAAATTTGAACCCTTAAACTTTTATGAGTGAAAATTTATACCCAAAAACTTTTAATTGTAAAAATTAAACCTCCAAACTTTCTTAATTGAAAAAATTACAACCCTAAAATTTATAATTTTAAGAATTAAACACTAAAAACAATTTTTTTTTTTTTATGGTCACATTGTTATCCTTTCTCTTTCATTGCTCTCTCTCTCCCTACTTTGTATGTCGGCCTGCGAGAAGACATATGTAGAAAACAATGGAAAGGGTAGGCAGGTGTTGTGAGTTGGGAGGATTTGGGGCCATGTAAGATAAGAATGCATTACTCCAATGGGAAATCTCTGATGTCTCCAAAACCTCTCGAAATTGGTGGACGACATCCATGCGTTTCAATGTCTTCAAGATCTATATCTTGAAGGAGACATTGAGAGAAAGAAACGCAAACATTGGTTAGGAGTTGAGGTCATTCCAAAATCTGGAGAGGTTGGAATTTCTAGATATTCACAAATTTTGGAACACCCGGTTTTCTCTCAAGTTGAAGGAGGTTATCGTGAGTGTAAATTTTCTCGGATGACAGAGTCTAGAGATATGGAAAAACTCATATTAGCCTTTTGGGAATAGATTTTCTGGCATGGATTAATTGGAAAAATTCCTCTCATAAATCTCTTGCACTTGACGGTAATAGCCTTGAACGAAAATTGTCGATACGGCCGACTACCATTTCTCCATAGTTTCATTATCAATTTCCATCAACCAAGTGCTCAACAAAAAAAAATTTGAAAGTTTCATGGTCTAATTTTTTTATTTATGAAAGTTTAAAGGTTTAATTTTTACCATTGAAAGTTTATGGGTACAGTTTTTTTCACTTACATAAGTTTAAGGGTTTAATTTTTCTACTTGAGAAGGTTTAAGGGTCCAATTTTTACAATTAAAAATTTAACGGTGAAATTGCAACAATCATTACATTTTAAGGGTGGTTTTTGCAATTTGCCCTTTTTTTTTACACCATCAACATTCATACTAAAAGTTTATAATTGTTGTAAATATCACCTTAATGGTTGACACTTGTCTCCAACCACGAGATCTACACTATTTGTTGCACTAAAATAATAATAATAAAAATAATAATAATATATATATATTATGTAATCATATTATTATTATGATAGATAGGGAAGAAAGAAAAAAAAGTAGTGAGAAAGATAAACAATAACATTATGTATAAATTAATATCAAATACAGTCGCTTATTAATTACCAATCAAATGATCTTCATAACCATTTAGAATAAGTTTTCAAACTCAACGGGAGAGAGATCAGACGTAACATCTATCAATCCCTCATTGGGGAGTCAACCAATTCTTTTCATAACATAGTCGAGAATAACGATGGACATAGTTATCTTTCGCATGTAAAGAGATGTTGCTGCTAATGCCATAGTTATGGAACAATCGAGGACACAACATGTTGTCCACTTTAAGAGGTAGGGATGAAGCAATCATCATTTAGTGAGCTATGTATTCCTACTAATAGTATTTCATTTACACGCGAGAGTGCCACGCTTAGTAGAACTATCGCATGTACGCCTTTCTTTCGCTTTAAATTTCGAACCTCTATTTTGAAACTTCGTAAATACACTCTAAACATCAGTAAAACTGTTCCTTTTGAAATGTGAGAGATCAAATTAACACAAACTCTTAAAAAAAAAGGGGGATTTTTTCTTTTTGCAATGCATAAAAAACAAAGAAAAAAGGTAGCGAAGAGCTTTCAATTGGGAGCCGCGTATAGAAGAGCGAAGGCAAAGTTCGAAGGCGGCAATCGAAGGCGAACCAGTGTCAGTATCAGTGTCAAGCTCTTTGATATTTCTAGTCGGCGATCGTGTCGCTACCGGAACCGGAGTCGTACTTCCAAACCCGTCGGAAAGCAAATGGCCGATTGAAGGGACACCGGACCGCCGGCCATGACTGAGTCTTCTCCGTCATAATGCATAATTTCAAGCGGCTTCCAAATTTTCTCCTAGTATTATCGAAGAACATCACCTGTGACCTATCTATCAATCGCGCGAGGCTGCTTAAACTGCCTATTCTGTCTCCTTCTTATGCTGTTTCCCGAGTCTGGCGAGGTTCGTATCATTATGCTGCGGAGCAATTCTCGGACGACGAGTACGAGTGCGATGTTGAGAACAATACGGTGGGTTATTTGTTTCCATATTGTCTGTGGATATGTTAGTTTAATGGGATAGCAATAGAATTTTCGTCTGATATGTCGATATTTCTCTCCACCACTTTGTAACATGAATGTTTGACAGATAAATATCTTCGTTATTGTTTCTAAAATTTCTTTGAATTGCCAGTTTCATGATGAACCGAGGTTAGGTGTGGGATAGATTAGGTTTCTCTTTATATTGCGCTTTGTGGCTTGTTTTTATTTATTTATGTAATTTGCTCCGTATGAATAAAAAATCCGTTGGCTCGAATGTGTATTCCCTATTCTGGGCAGTTAATATTTTGTCATTAGTCTGTATGGGTGGGTGGCCTAGGAGCGGTCGCTTGATGCAGTCTTCTGCATTGTCTGGCCGTGATACATCTGTTGAAGTGGGTTTGAGTATTGATTGGGGTGTCGAGGGCAATTAGTAAGGTATTTTCTGTGTCTGAGTCATAAACTATGCATTGCTCGAGCTCGGACTTGGACTGGGCACGTATGACTACCCGTTCGGAGTTTGAATCATTCAATTACACAATTGGGTCGGCTGGATCAAGGTTTGTTTGAGCTAAGTAGTAGAGCGTTGGACTTGAACCCGATGTTGGAGTGATTGAGCTGTCACATTCAGTGTCTATTTAAATGTTTGTGCTAACAGACTTTGAAGGTGAGTTGGACCCAATGTTAGACAGCAAAGCCTACTGAATGAATGCTGAGCCATGCCATTGAGTGAATCGAAGCATTATAACCAAACGTTGGTAGATAAATATAAACCATCTCTCTAGCTCGTTGTAGTTGGGAAATTATCTGTTAAATTTCCTACTAATAAATATTTTCTATTTAGAATTAGTATATGTCCGCATGGCTGCGATAATGTTGCTAAATAGATACTTTGTGCATTATAACCAGATGCCGTACACACTTGATTCTTTATCGTGCCTTTTTATTGGATGTCAACACATGTTTGAACCTTGAATTTGTTATGAGCGAACAGAAATGGTGGAGAATGCTGTTCTATTCATGCGCCAACTCATAAAATATGGACTATGTAACATACGGATCAGCATTTTTGATATCTTCATTATCATCTTAATAGAGAAACTTTAATGCAGATATTGGCACAGAGTTATTTGATGCTTATTACCAAATACTGTTGTTACTTCTACTATTTCCACTATTGAGTTTGTATCTTATATATTCATTTCATTTTAAAACAAGTCATGATTAAAAATTGTAGGCCTCGTCTTCTGTGGCAAACATTGATGAGTGGAAATGGAAACTTAGCTTGCTATCTCGAAATGATAAGGATCAAGAGATTGTGTCCAGAGATAAGAGAGATAAGAGAGACTTTGAGCAGATCTCAAACCTTGCCAAAAAGATGGGGCTTTATTGGTAGATGGGAACCTTATTTATATATTTATATGATTCTATGATTCTGTCTTTATTTTGAATTGAGACAATTTGGTTTAGCTAGATTATGTGTTTCCTTGACAGTTCAATGTATGGAAAAGTGGTAGTTGCAAGTAAAGTTCCCCTTCCTAACTATCGACCAGATTTGGATGATAAGCGACCACAAAGGGAGGTAACAACTTATTTGACTTCTTATAAATTTTTTGAATATATGTACCTCTTGGATTCAAGATTATTCCATGGGATTGCGAGCAAAACCTTAGTTTCATTATATGTACAGGTAGTTGTTCCTTTAAGTTTGCAAAGGAGGGTGGAAGGTTTACTGCAGGAACATTGTGATCGCGTTCAGCTAAGTTCTGGAAAGGCTAGCGAGATTTCAAACAGCGCCAAGTCTATTGACCAGGTTAAAGATGTGAATATGGATGAAAGCGAAGATTCTTATCTTGATGGGTCTGTTATGGAAAAGGTACTCCAGAGGAGAAGTTTACGAATGCGGAATATGCAAAGAGCATGGCAGGTAATCTCAATAATGCACCACAATGAGCTGTCCTAGATTCCCTTTTTCATGTACTTGTACATTTGAACGACAGAAATCCATATGCCCCACCCAACAAAATATTCACTATTTTGATAATTGAAAAAAGTTTATAATTTCAAAATGTGAATGCAGAAAGAAGTTAGCCATTTCCTAATTTGTTGTTTACACAGTGTCAGTTATAGTTTACTGTCTTATTTTTCTTGGATTAGTTAACCAATAATGCCAACATCCAGACTATGGTTGACAAATATTTCCTCCAAGCTGTTTCTACTTTTCGGTTCATCCTAAGGATAAAACTTCCCTCCTGAAGATTCAGGAGGGAGCTCCTCCTAATTTCTTGCGTGGTCCAGTAACATATAGAGTGGACCACGTAAGAATTATGCAAAATAAAAAAATCCACTTATCTATATATTATTGGACCACGCAGGAATTCATGAGGAGAATCTTCTTCTGGAAGAAAGTTTTTTCCTCATCGTAATCTGCAATTTATAGTGAATGCTGCTTCATCCTCTTCTCTCTCTTTTTTTTTGGTTGCTTGCAAGTATGGACGATTGATTTTAGACCAGGTTCGTTATAATAATGATGATGATGATTATTATTATGTTCACATTTACTGGTTCAAAACCTTTAGAGACCAGTAGGTTTGATACTTGAGATTAAATTACTATATAAAAACAATGTCTGTCCGTTG